ATCTCTTTCTTGGTGAATTGAGCATATCTTATCTCTCTGCCGCGCCACAAAGTGTAAGCAGCTGTTTTTTTTCTTGACATATAATAATAAATGGGCTAGTGATGTAAATTTATGTTTTCAGGAGGAGCTGGTAGTTGATGGGTCTGTGGTGAGGAGTGGAAGAAACTTAACTGTAATCGCTGTTGAGTTCAGGATCAAGAAAAGCTGGAAGCTAGTTTACATTGCTCGTGCTACTTTATATCACATGCCCGTTGCCAAGTTATGAAGTGTCTGTTATGGGGTCAGTGAATTATATTTGATCTGTAAACCTGTTCTTCCTTTTCTTCACCGCATAAATATATATTTATAGTAGTTTTTTTTTTTTTTTAATTGGACATAAAGGATCTCCAACAAATTGTGATGATCCTAATGGAAAACTTTAAGACAGATCCCAGTTCGTTTCTGTTGCATTTTCCGCATTATTCTTTTTTTTTTCCGAGAAATTTCCAAGAAAACCAACAACTTCATCAGTGTGTGAAAGCGCACAGCATAATTTAATTGTTTCTAGTATCTTTGCTCCAGAACATGGAGGAGAAACATAACAAATAGAAGTAATTCAACAAAAAACTTATCTCATTATTTTCCAACAAAATTATCAGAGCCCTTGAACGGCATCTATATTTATACAGTACCTTACCTAATTCATTCTCTCGTATTCTGGCTGCATGTTGAGTTCTCATGAAAATATGGCATTAACAAAAGCTTCTGCGTCAAAAGGCTGAAGGTCTTCAACACCTTCTCCAACACCTACAAACTTCACAGGGATGCCAAGCTCATCCACAACACTGACCTGCAAGAGGAAATTAGGGTCTCACTAATCTGACTAATCAGGAAACACGAAACATCATTGAAACTGGAACATACCACACAGCCACCTCTAGCAGAACCATCAAGTTTTGTCAAAATCAAACCGGTTATTCCAACCACCTGTCATGACAGTTGCATGTCAGAAGCATGTTTTACACTATAGAAATAGGAGCACCACCAAAGCCAAGCTAAGCAGGTTATTATGGCTAGGGGTGAGCAATGGCGAGAGAATGGCTACACCGATCCGACCCTTTTAAAAGTTCGAGCCCTACCGGAATAACCCTTATAAAAATCAGGTGAGTAACCCGACCCTTTTAAAAGTTCGAGCCCTACCGGAATAACCCTTATAAAAATCAGGTGAGTAACCCGACCCTTTTAAAAGTTCGAGCCCTACCGGAATAACCCTTATAAAAATCAGGTGAGTAACCCGACCCTTTTAAAAGTTCGAGCCCTACCGGAATAACCCTTATAAAAATCAGGTGAGTAACCCGACCCTTTTAAAAGTTCGAGCCCTACCGGAATAACCCTTATAAAAATCAGGTGAGTAACCCGACCCTTTTAAAAGTTCGAGCCCTACCGGAATAACCCTTATAAAAATCAGGTGAGTAACCCGACCCTTTTAAAAGTTCGAGCCCTACCGGAATAACCCTTATAAAAATCAGGTGAGTAACCCGACCCTTTTAAAAGTTCGAGCCCTACCGGAATAACCCTTATAAAAATCAGGTGAGTACTTTCAATTAAATTTCTTTTTTATGGGTTGAATGCTTTTAAAAAATGATCTTGCACAATCAAAATTTTTATTTGTATCCTACACAAGTAAAAAAATTATCAAAAAAAATAATTGTTGCTCAAATAATCATAATAAGAAATTATAAAATAATAATCAAACCATAATCAACATCAAACATTCGTAATGAAAAAATCATAACATAATCAAACCATGATAATCACAATCACACAAACCATAATTTTCCATCTTCAAATCAAAACTAAACCATAGCAAATTAAGAAGTTCTAATTAAGCATTTAACATATCTAATAAAAATAAAAAAACATGCAAATTTAAAAATTATATTTTTAGTTGCTAAAAACAAATACATGTCATCTTCAAGAAAAAATTAATTTTGATTTGAAATTTTTAATTTTACAAGCAAAAGAAGAAAGAAAGGCGAGTGCATCATGTGAAGAAATTAAAAAAAAAAAAATTAATATTTTTCGGGTCAGGTCGGGTTAAACAAGGTATTTAACCAACTCACCCGACTCGAATAAGGGATATACATCCCTCAAATTATCTAACCCGACCCGACTCGAAAAGCCGATTATAATCCTATATTTTCAGTCGGTTCGGTTTTTACACAGCCCTAATTATGGTACCAAAGGAGCTAAAAGAAAAATTGCCAGGATACAAAGGTTACAACATTAACCATGTACAAGAATCGTGAGGTGATTGTGTAATCAACTAAATAACTTCACAAGTTCATCCCAAGAACTTTTGCATGCATATAAATTCACAAATCTGATAAATTAAATTACAGATAATGAATGCTGTCCATAGAAAAGGGCATAGGTAGCAATATTTTCTACACAGGAAAGATGGAGATATTACTTCGTTAAACTCTCTTGCTTGTGGAAGCATATTCAGACCAGTGTTCCCATCTAGCACCAGAAGGATCTCCTGCAAATCTTGAGAAATGAAAATCAGATATATGGAAGAGAACTGGAAACATTCAACTTATTCCAATGTATTTCTAATCAAAGAACAAAACAATATTCTCAGAATGAAGGTGGAACTAGAGTTACTATGCGGGTGACCAGTGCAAGAAGCATCCTACATTTTTTATCCTTGGGAGGGTTGATATATGCAGCATTCTGTTTGCTTTTTCAATGACACTGATTCAGTGACTTGATTCCATGGCAGAAGATTCATTGGAACATTAAAGATCACACCATAAATTTCATTATACTAGCTACTTGTAAATTATCGGCAATATATGCTGCTGGGGATAAAAGCCAAAAATAACGAAGCAGCAGAAGAAAATTGGAACATAAAATGCTAGTCTGCCCAAGCCATTGAATTGGACGGGGGACATTTAAGTGCTTCAAATATCATAGAGATGTTGAAAATTTCAAATAATTGAGCTTACATTAGGTGCACCAGAAACAACTTTTCCTACAGCTTTTTTACATGCTATCAACTCTTCCATGAGGCTGTAGTTAGTGTGAAGGCCTGAAAAGTAGATAAAGATTTATGGCTAGAATGCAAGTGTGTGCACACGCAAAAAGAATAAATAAATAATCTAACAATGTATGTCACTGAAGTTTGACAAACTTACGTCCTGATGTGTCACATAAAACAACGTCAAAGCCTTGTTCTTTCCCTCTTTTTACAGCCTTTGAAAGAACTATTCAGAAAGCACTTTATGATCATATGTTAGCGGTTACAAGAAGTCGGTTAAACTTACAAACTGATAAAAGCTAGAAGAAAACTATTTTAGCAGATATCTCAATCATCTACCTGATGATGCTTTGGCCTTCTCCTCTTCAGCCACAACAATCTCACATCCAGTTCTTTCAGCCCATATCTCCAACTGGTCACTGGCAGCTGCCCTAAATGTATCACCTGCTGCCATCAATATCTGGCACAGTATCAAAGCCATAAGCCAATATTTTGCCCGTTAATTCTATCATTTTGAACAATAGAAAATACAATAAATCATTCCAAGGTACAATCCATTGTAGAACTACATCTACAGAGAAAGAAGCACTACACATTTCACCACCTTTATAATGTGTACCTTACAGCACGAGTAAACAAGATTGTCAAACCACACTCAAACTAGTACAAGATATTAAAGTATTTGAGGAAAAGAATCTTTAAGAGTGTACACTTCAAATTACAATTCCACTATAGAAAGTGCAGTAAGTTTCAAGCTGCAAAAATAGATTTAGTCGTAACCTAATATCTGCAGAATCGACATTAATGTTTATAGAACACTGATTCTATGCAATATCAACAGTAAAACATCAATCTATTAGTTTCCTTGAACATTTGCCTTCTCATTTCCATGAAGTTATGGCATGAAAATCCATTTTCTGTCAGGCATGTATCACAATGCAGAAAAAGAAAAAATATCTCACCTTCGCCCCATCATTCTTCAATCTATATGCCAGCTTCCCTGAAAAAGAAAACGAATTATCAGTTTCTTCTTATGGGTGAAAGAAGATATCTAAACGCTTGTTTAGACATAAATGTCAAGAAGAAATATTGGCAAGAACATGCAATATGAAAGCATAAAAGTTGCATAACAATGGCCAATATTTTCCAATATTAAAGAACTAGGTAAAGTACAAGAGCATAAATATTAAAATTTGTACTGCTATCGCTAAATTTTAACAAAAATGATATAAGAGTGGCACACAAGCAATGTCTTTAAAACTATGAGAGTAATAATTATCTTACTAAGGATGTTATTTTAACATTTCCTTGAAAGAAAAAACTACTACATCTTTTACCAAGAGATGTCGTCTTCCCACCTCCATTGACACCAACAATCATGATAACAGCCGGCTTCCTGATCCGTAATTTGTCCAAGTTAATAACGACTAGCCTTGCTAACATACAATAAATAAATGATAAAAAAAATTACAATAATAAATAGACATCTAGAACCTGAATCCAAGCTGAAGCTCAGTCTTATTCCCTTTCTTAATTAATAATTCAAGAACACTCTTCTTCAAAGCATCCTACAGATAGTAAAATCCAAGTTCATAATTCAAACTATTAATGAAGCTCTTAATTAAGGTAAAGCTCTTAATTAAGTACTAAATACCTTTATTTCGCTTCCTGATTTGAGCTTCCCGGCTAATATATCCTCCCGCAAGCTCTCCACGATCTTAATCGTGATTCTTGGCCCAAAATCGGATACTAACAGTACCTGCAATCAAAAAGTAACGCCTTAACATTTACTGTTAGCCCAAACGGAGTTATGCTTTAATAAAACTGGTAAAAGAGAGACCTCTTCAAGTTCGTCTAGAACTCGGTCGGTGTCGGCGAGGTTCCAGTATAGGAGCAGCTCGTCAATTACGGCGAGATTGTCTCTGGTTTTGGAGAATCCAGAGAAGATTTTCTCCACATCGCTTTTGGCCTTCTCTTTTATCAATCTGCCAAGTCGTGTGAAGAACCCGCTCTGACTTGCCAGACATTTGAAGCGGACAGTTTTGTGTGGATTCGACCCGCTTCGCGGGAAGCCGAGGACTAGGTGTGGAGGTGAAGGTCTGGAGACGAGTGAGAGACGAGCTGGAGTGGCCATTTCTCAGCTCTGAAGCACACAGACTCGCCTTTCTACTTCTGGATAAATTTCCTTAGCACGATGTCGTTTCGTCCTAAATGGGCTAGGCCCTATTGCCTTTCAACTGAAGGCCCATAGCTATAAATTCCGTTCAGTGTCTTGTTCGTGAATTATCATCATAAACCGTCAAATTTTGGAAAATTAGCGGTTTATGATGATAATTAATGAATCAGAAACTTCCACTCCTTACAAATCTAACTAAAAAATCAAATAAATTGTACTTTATTGATTGAAATTGTGTGTACAATGGATATCCAAACAACTCTTTTAAAAAAAGAAAAAAAAAAAAAAGAAAGATAGAAAAAGAGTTGACTGAGCTTGACTTTATGGTTTGTCGAGTTTTATGGAACAAATAGTCCATGTCACCATGGATAATGTAAATTTAAAAGAAATAGTACTTCGGCTATATTATATGCATCGTGTAGTCGATAAAATAAACAGGTTAAAAATAAATATTTTTTCTGTCCCAAAAAAAAAAAAAGTCTACTCTGTATTTTTACATAAATTAAAAAAAATACAATTATTATAATTTAAAAAATAATTTTATTTATATAATTTGGGGGAGGCAGCTATCGTCAATTAACGGTCGAGATTGGTCTCCTGGTTTTTAGGGAAGAATCCAGAAAAAGATTTTCTCCATCATTCAGCATTTGGCCTTTTTGCTCTTGTGTATCATGCTGTCCAAGGGTCTCGTAGTGAAGAACCCAGTCTCTAGGACTTGCCCAGAAGCATTTGAAGGCGGAACAGTTGTTTGAGTGTGATTCCGACCCGCTTCGCGGGAAGCCGAGGACTAGGTGTGAGGGTGAAAGGTCTGGAAGACGAGTGAAGAGACGAGAGCTGGAGTGGCCCATTTCTCAGCTCGTGAGGACGCACAGACTCGCCTTCTTACTTCTGGATAAATGTTCCTTAGCAGCGAGTGTATTCGATTTCCGTAGGTCCTAAATGGAGCTAAAGGCACCCTAATTGCCTTTCAACATGAAAGCACGCCATAAAGGCTTAGTTAGAATTGCCGTTCAGATGTCGTTGTTCGTGAATTATTATCATAGAACCAGTCAAATTTATGTGGAAAATTAGCGGTTTAATGATGATAATTAATGAATTCAGAAACTTCGCACTTCACCTAATACAAATCTAACTAAAAAAATCAAAAAATAATGTGTAACTTTATTGATTGGAAATTGTGTGTAAAATGGATAATCCAAACAACCTTTAAAAAAAATGAAAAAAAAAAAAACCAAGAAAAGATAGGAAAAAGAGTTGACAGTGGGAGCTTGACTTTGAGGTTTGGTCGAGTTTTAAATGGAACAAATAGGTCCATGTCACCATGGATATGAATCGTAAATTTAAAAGAAATAGTACTCGTCGGCCTATATTATAATGTTGCATCGTGTAGTTCGAGTAAAATGGAACAGGTAAAAAAATAAATATTTTTTTAAACTGTCGCCAAAAAAAAAAAAAAAGTGCTACATTCTGTTAATTATTTACATAAATTAAAAAAATAGCAATTATTATAATTTAAAAATATATTTTTATATTATATAGCATTTATTTTTTATTATGGTTATCTTTAAAATAAAATGATGAAGTAATGTATATTATATTTAAATAATAATAATAAAAATTATTTAAATAAAAATAAAAATATGAAATAAAATATTAATAAATAATTTAAGAATTAACTATAAATAAAAAAATTATATTTTAAAACAAACAAAAAAAAAAAAACGGACGCCAGCTATTTTTGTAACAGAAAGGAGTAAAATAATTAGTGGCTTGTGATGTTTACTTATAAATAGATCACAGCGTACCTAGTACCTTTGACGGAAAAACTTACCTGATGCATCACAACTGTGGGAGCACGACAAGAAATGTCTGCTTGGAATTGTCATCAATTAATCTGGCCCAGCAGTGATCAGTTGACGCGTCAATTAATTCCTTATTAGTCCGGTCCTGCTTTCCTTCATGCAACTGCGCGAGAGCGAGAGAACTATGTTAGGACTTACCGATCTTATTACCAGCCTAAATACAGCCGTAAACAGACCAGTGCGGACGAATAATCTGCAGGGGATCTAAGATATTATTACGGGGAGTTTAAGATCAAAACGCCGCAAATGGTCAATATAGTTTAGACAATACTCTGGTACATATGAAATGTCAACGTATAGAATTGCCCCTTTCCCACTATAACACAAGCGCTGAGCGAAACTCAGGAGTCGTTTAAAGGAGAGAAAAAATTATGTTAAAAATAATAGAAACAGTCCCCTCGGCAGTCAATGAGACTGTTGTCTGTCCTCCAGATTTCTTCACGAGACAAGTTTTCCTCTCATGAAAGCACATAGGAGAAGCCTGATAAAGTAACAACACACGGCATAATGGTTTGTTACGGATACGACCATATAAAAAATATAATAAAAATATAATAAATAATTTAAAAATTAACTATAATATAAAAAAAATTATATTTTAAAACAAACAAAAAAAAAAAAACGGACCAGCTTTTCTTGTACAGAGGAGTAAATAATTAGTGCTTGTGATGTTACTTAAATATCACACGTACCCCTGACGGAAACTTCTGATGCATCACACTTGGAGCGTACAAGAAATGTCTGTTGGATTGTCATCTCGGCCCACCATTGACGCCGTCAAAATTCTTTCCGTCCTGCTTCCTTCATACTTTCCATTCTACGTTTTTACCCCTAAAACCCGTACCGCAATACTCAGTAATTTTCGAAAGTTTAGTCAACGCGCCAATCTGCAAATATATTTTAGACAATCTCCATTGAAATGTCAACATAATTGCCCCTTCCCTCACGCGCTGAACGAAACTCAGTCGTTTAAAGGAGAGAAAAATTGTAAAATATAGAAACATCCCCTCTCGTTCTGTCTCCTTTCTCACGAACTTCTTCCTCTCATAAGCATCCTATATAACAACACCAATGTTGTCCCCTAATTTCTTCACAACTCGAATATTAACCTTTAAATTTCAATTTCCAAAACATAAACCAACGTTCTTCAATATCTCTTTTACCGTTATACATGGATTCCCTAGTACACAATTTGGAAATCACAGTCTTATCTGCAGAAAACCTAAATTTGGACGGAAAATCTGTAAAAAAGGACACCTTCGTTGTGATTAAAGTTGATCCTCTCAATTCTCAATCCACAAGAGCTGATTATGAAGGTGGACGCAATCCTTCTTGGAATCAAAAGCTCGAAATAGGCATGCCAATGCATGCTCGCTTTATTACCCTAGAAGTGCAATGCAAGATTGGGTCAGGAAATAAAGTTATTGGAACAACTAATGTTCCCGTTTCTGATTTCATGGGCGGTTATATCCCAGAGAACTATTTAAACTTTTTGAGTTATCGACTAAGAGATGTGAGGGGTGAAAAGAACGGTATTGTTAATATTTCTTTAAAAGTGAAATCGTCGGCTGCCTGTGCGACGCTGGGCATGAGAAAAAACTTGCCGAGTTACACGTGGCAATCATCGCCGTCACCGCAGATGCAGCCAACGTGGGGAGTGCCCGCGGGCCAGAAGAATTGTCTTGGTCATGGAGGAGTGGTAACAGGAGTTCCTGTTTGGTGTGTTTCTCGGGCTTAATTTCTACAGTTTGGGGTTCTTTGTTAGACTTCTGTATCTATGCTTGACTACTAAACCAACAATTTAAATTTAGCCTTAGGGACAATATTTTTTTTGTTAATATTGATCAAGAATAAATATATCAGATATTCATTAATTATTCTTTAAAATGTTTGGATTTGTGTATATTAGCTTTTTTTTTTTTTTTTTGAAATAAAATGAAATTAAATTTTGCATTATTTATTAAAAATCAGAAAAAAAAACTTATCAATTAAGTATTCTTTTTTTTTTTTTTAATTTTTCTAGAAAATAATTTACTTTAAAAACATGTTGGAAATATTTTTACTATCCAAAGGGAAAATTAGATCACTTTCAGTGATTGTTAGTTTGCAAAATATTGTAATAGTATTACAGTAGTTTTTTGTACCTTCAACTTTCTGGCCGTAATAGATGCCATTGTAGATCTTCTAATAGTTTCTTTATTTTTTCTTTCCGGTTTCGCACTATAGGCATTAGGTTTTTTTTTTTTTTTTTGGAAATAAAATGCTATATTATTATAAAATCAGAAAAAAAAAACTTATCAATAAGTATTCTTTTTTTTTTTTAATTTTCTAGAAAATAATTTACTTTAAAAACAATGTTGGAAAATATTTTACTATCAAAGGAAAATTAGATCACTTATTTTCAGTGATTGATAGTTCAAATATTGTAATATATTACAAGTTTTTTCCTCACTTTCGGCCGTTAGATGCATGTAGCTTCTTAGTTCTTATTCTTCTCCGGTTCGCACGAGGCCATTGGTTGAGTCAACATGGTCAAAAACTCCTGCATGCGTGACACAACAACTTACAATAGAGACAATGGAGCCCACGTCCACCTTTTGCGCCTCAATATTATACAACCGGAGCCGCCAAAGAGTCAAACGCCGTAGGATTTAAATTTTGTTCGTATACTTGAAGTTGAACTAGCCTTAATCGACTTTTCCTGGATAACAAGTCAATAGAGAGTTTCAGGCTTTTTTTTTTTTTTCAAAAGTACCTAATTAGGCAATTACATTACACAAAACGTTATTATATTTAAGGGCAAAAGAAAAATTATGGAAGATGAAGGCACGTTGGCTTGTTACGTAATCATGGAGTTACGTAATCATTATTAGAATTATTTTATCCAAAGAGATCAATTTTCTTAGTAAGAATAAGAGCTTTCTTTTCTTTTTCTTTTTTTTTTTTTAATAAGTAAGATTTGATTTTATGAGGAACACTTTGAAATAATATTTCTCAAAAAAAAAGCGTATAAATTAATTGATTATATCTTTAATTATAAATATCACAAAATAAAATTGTTAGAGATACTTTTGTATAATTAGTTAATTATCAATACAATTTCCCCTCGTGCAAGTCAAGATTATTTGGCTACTGGAATTATACGAAAACCATGTAAGGAATTAATTAATTATTAACCTCAGCAATAAATTAATTAATAAACAAATTATTCATCATTACTTTTTGCCTAATAAGTTAGGTTGGAAATCGGCCGGAATGAAAGTTTAACTGACTATATTATATTTATAGAAACTCATGGGCTGTGATTGAGTTAGCAATGTAGGCTGAGCATATGGGAAGAGTTATCGGTTCAATTTCTACTAAATACAGATGCAGAAAGGGGCGAAGAGTCTTAACTGTGATTAAGCCTCAAACCGAATTTAGTCGGTCCTTAATAATAAGATTCTAATAATGGTGGTTTACATCGGAAAAAAAAATATTATATTTATAGAAAATGGAATTTTCATGACATTTGTTTTTTATTTTTCCCTGTGAAGTGGTTTCTCCAACTATACAACAACTATTGCGGGTCACCAAACAACAATTCTGTCAGCGACAGGAAAGGAGAAATTTCCTCATAGTTTACAGGAACAAACCTTTTGTTTTCTATTAACAAGGGCTCACAAGATTTGGTTTTGATATAGAAATTCTTTTTCATTAAATAGATTAAATCCTAACTCCCAGGTTGCCAACCAACTTGTGTGATCACGTTAGCCGGATTACGTTAGGCGACCAACGAAAGCACGTGATGTCCATAGTCATTATGGAAATTGATAGTCAATGTGCAGATTGATATTAGGCAAGTGATAAAATCTTCAGAAAAAGTTATTATCCAGCAATATTCTATTTATCTATATGAAATTTATCCTATGGAAAGAAAAGTGTGCAATGGAAAATTCATAGATTATACTGATCCATTGTATACAATATATAAAGACTACAAGATTCTCAGTAAACGACAATTAATGCAATTTCCAAAGAATCGTCACGCCAGCGAGGTTCGCTTACTTTTATTTATTTAAAATATTCTCAATTATAAATTTTGTTTTTTTTTCTTTTTTTTGTACAAAGAAGGGAATTAACCTATTAAGAATAATGTCAGCATTTAAAAAGTTTTTACTGAGAAAAGCTTTCTTATTGTTATTCAAATTACAATTGAAATTTAATTTCGTCACGTATGACTCAAAAAAAATTATTATTTACTAAGTCGTAAAGACAAGTCTTATCCATTAAGTGAGGCTTATCTAATTACCTACTTTTATCTATTAAGAAAAACATCTCTTTTTTCTCTCTGATTGCTAATTAATTTTCGGAAATTTCTTGTCTACACCCGATGTACGAAATTTCCTACCAATTTCCTTTCTTTGTTGGTTATAAAAGCTCATCCTTTCTAAGTTCCTACACGTACTCTTGCACATTGTATAATTCCTTTCGCTTTCATCATCATGGCAAGCTCCTCTCGCACTCTAGAAATAACAGTTTTATCATGTGAAGATTTACGTATTGATGGAAAATCAGTGAAGAAGAACACGTACGTCGTTGTTAGAACGGACCATTTAAACTATCGCACTACAAAGATCGACACAGAAGGAGGAAGCTATCCTTCTTGGAATCAAAATCTCCTAATCGATATGCCATTACATGAACGATTTGTCACGTTAGAAGTTAATTGCAAGATGGCTTCCAGTGACAGAATCATTGGGACGGCGAGAATTCCAGTGACAGATTTCATGGGAGGTTATTTACCAGATAATTATTTGAATTTCTTGAGTTATAGGTTGAGAGATTCAAGAGGTGTGAGAAACGGCATTGTTAATATTTCGGTAAAGGTAAAATTGCCGGAATACTTGTCGTCTAAAAATAATAAAAAGGTGACCGAAAATAGTGCATGCTCTACTGCGTCAAAGCCGCCGCTGAAAATGCCGATTGGCGGTGAAAAGAACTTTGGCGTTGTTGCTGGTATTCCCGTTTGGAATATCAATTATTTATAATTGTTTTTTTCACATATTGCGTTTTAATTATGTGTAACGTTTTTATTATATCAAAAAGGAAACAAATCCTATGATTATTCTGTCAATAATGCAAGTAATCTACTGCATTCAATTTAAATTATAATCTTATTCTATAATAATATGGAAAATAAAAAATACAAATAACTTTTATTATTGTAAAAAGTCGAAAAAGGAGTTCAATCTGATAAAGGAATTTGACCTGAAATGACAGCAGAAAAAAAAAAAAAAAAAAAAAAAAAGGAAACAAATTTCTTGATTATCTCTGTCAATAATGCAAGTAATCTACTGCATTCCAATTTAAATTTATAATCTATTCTGATAATATAATGGAAAAATAAAAAATACAAATAACTTTTATATTTGTAAAAAGTCGAAAAAAGGAGTTCAAATCTGATAAGAAGTGAATTGACTCTTGAAATGACAGCAGAAAAAAAAAAAAAAAAAAAAAACAACGTCATTATTCTGCGCTGAGCAAGTGTTTGTTGAGTCATAGGAAGCTATTTTCCTTACATGCAGGCGCGTTTATTAGATAAGATAACTGAAATAACTCGATCTTTTCAATTAAAGCTGCAGAAATACAACGTTTTTCAAAACTCCGTTCGCCAAAATTGAAATTCTTGTAGGTTACCAAAAGCGAGATTCTAATTTCTAGGAAATGCCGCAGCAAAAGGAGTGGTCATTTCATCACGCGTTTTCTTTACTCTCGATTTTGTCCTTCCGACCAATTCCCAGTATTTTTTTTTTTTTTGAAAAAAAAAAAAAAAAAAAAAAACAACGGTCATATTCTGCTAGCAAGTAGCAACGGCTATATCCTTACATCAGCGACGATTATTAGATAAGATCTGAATAACTCGACTTTTCAATTAAAGCTGCAGAAATACAACGTTCAAAACTCGTCGCCAAAATTGAATTCTTGTAGGTTACAAAAGCGAGATTTCTAATTTCTAGGAAATCCGCAGCAAAAGGAGATGTCTTTATCACCGTTTACTCTCGATTTTGTCCTCCGACCAATTTCCCAGTATTTTTTTTTTTTTTTTAGAAAAAAGGAAGGAGCCGCGGGTGGACTATTTTGACTTGGAAAATTCGGTTAAATTTGCAGTCTACGGAGGAATAATTCACACTCTTATACTGGTAAATTTTGAAAAATGGAATAAGGAATGATTCGTCGCGTTTTGGATTTTCCCTTATTTAGTATTACTTGTTAGTATTAAAAATTGATACTCAGTTGCCATACCTTGTTGATGAAAGAACCTGTAAATGCCTTCACATGGGTTATGAGGGCACATTCGTCTCCAGCCAAGAACAGCAATACTTCCCGCTGTCATCTTTCCTTTACTTTTTCTTTCTCTGAGTTATCGACTTTATTGTGTATTGCGTGTTTATTTGATTCTTTATTTCTCTTATGGCAACAGTTTTCATACAGTGTTTAACATTTTGACTATTTTTAATATCTAGTGTTATATTTATACTAATATTTATAGTTTGAACGAGCGGATTATAAAAAATTATTCATTTTAAGATTTAATAAAAACGCTAATAAAATAGATAACAAGCGATAATTGTTAAAACATTTAATTTTGCTAAATATAACTTTTATCTCTTTCACATATGAAAAGGAAAAGGAGTTCTTTCGTTACTTAAAATATGATAACTTGATGAAGGTGTTGCTTCCCAATATCTACAACCTTTATATAAATTTTTCTTCGTAGGAAAAGCTTACACCTGAAAAATACTCAGACAATAGGTAAAGCCATAAAGGTTGGTATTGCTTATAATGAACTATTTCGTGTCAATGTTATCAATCTACAACTTTAGATAGAAAAAGCAAACACTGTTCGTTGGCATTTGATAATGTTGCTGGTGCTTTGTTCAACAAGGGATGCTAACTTTGGGCCCTTGACATTATGGATTATGCTTTAATTTAACTCTCTAAGTCTTTAATTTATTGCGGTGGTTGCTATTTGCGTGTGGCATTTGTTAATTATTTTGTGGGATTGTTTGATCTTATAGACGTTTGATTTGGTATCTCAAGGATGTAGTTGAGAGAGAGAAGAGAGAAATAGAGACTACAGAAGAAAGAAGAGTGAAAAAATAAAATAAAAATATAAAACAATCTTTAATCAAAAAGGAAATTAAATAGTTAATTATAATTTACTACTATATTTATTTTGATCTAAAAATATATATTAAGAATTATTCTATTTTTCTCATACAAAAAAATTCATTGTAAAAAGAGTTTGCAAAGAAAAACCATGAATATTTAAAAGCCAAAAAAAAGTGATAAATAAATTGGAAATCCAATTATTATATAGAATTAATGTGTACCTTACAGGTGACACAAAGATTTGTATTTTAACAAGAGCTTTCAAAGATTTTTTGCCGTTTACATTAAATATATAATAATAAACTTATTTGAAGATTTAAAGCAGGAGAAAAGACCAAGCACCGGTGGTCTGCTGGTAGAATACTACACTACTACAGTACAGACCCGGGTTCGACTTCTAGCTGGTGCTATAAGGGCTGTGAAGACAATTGTGCTCAGTAACAGATGGGGTCTGTTGCGATCATCTGAACCTGAGGATGATAAAACGCACAGCTGAGCTGTATGATTTTTTTTTTTCCCTCTGCCCAATCCTAAAGGAAGAAAGGAACAAGCAATATTTTTCTTTTATCACTTGTCCCCTAGGTTTGGAATTATTATTTGGTTTTTAACGAGTCTATGAACCAGGTTGGTCTCCTGGGAGAATAGTACGAGCTCCTTGTACTTTTATATAAATTATTATTATCATTATTATTTAGGTCGCACAACTGCAAAGACAAACAGTGCGAGCTAGTTTACAAATAAAACATGTTACTAAGTGGTAAATCGATATGTTTCTTTAACGGGTAACAGTAAAAATATCATATACACTGAGCACAAAGACCAAGGAGAACTACGAGGAGATTGGTTAAAACCGTCTCAGCAAAATCCATCCTCGGTGCCAAGAAGATGGTCGTGTGCCCATGATGACACAGATAGGGAGGAATCTCTATCCAATTCTCTTAGCTAAAAACCTGGTTTCTATACTTCTTCTCCACCACTCTGGTTCCCTGCCTTTAGAATGTTATATTTACAGAGTGGACAGGTTGCATTGATGCAAAGCCACTTATCAATGCACGTACAGTGGAAATGGTGATGACAAGGTAGTTCTCGCAGCTCAGTTCCATCTTCATATGCAGAGAGGCAAATGCAGCATTCCTGTAATGTGATAATAACAAAGGCGCATTAGAAGTCAGATCATATTCAATTTGAAAAAAAAAAAAGAGCTTCCTGATCCACGTATGCCAGATAAAAACCAGAGTCCATTCCATGAGGATTCTTAAATAATAGATTTTTAGCTGTATAATTTAGGTTGGCAATCAGAATGGTGAAAAAGATGGGTTTTTTAAATTTGATTTGAAAACCGCGGCTCTGCTTGAAAATCTATGCACGAAAATAAAATATGCCCTATGTCCAGTTATGGAATTTTTGCAGCTGAACAGTCTAAGTCTTAGCATAGTGTACTCTCTTCAGTACAGTGAATCACTTGTTTTATCTTTCCTTCTTCATTTTTGTTTGTAGGCATAACAGACAATAAACTTCACCCAGTCTTTTAACATTAGAACAAAAAGCCTCATGGCCCAATCACAAAGCAGACGCATAAGAGACGCATATTATTGAAAGTGACTACTAAAGTTTTATCCTTCTGGAGTACTCACAGCATCCTCATGCGAGAGAAGGTGTACAGTGGGTGTATCGGGTTCATATCCAGTCATCATCCCTCCAAAAGAAGCTTGAATCTCACCATTAACTTTCTCAATATCCCCAGTCCTGTGGAATTTGTACTTTGGTAATCGATCAATTTCTTCCTTTGTTGCTCCTTCCTGTTTAACAGTTTAAGGATGAAATCAGACAGGGAATACCAACAATATGGAGAATGCTTTGGTGATAACATGAAGTGCTGGGTTGGCTGGTCCCAGATGAACTACAAAATGAGGGGACCCAAATAATTTAACCACCTAAGCATTTTCACTATGCATGAAGTGAAGCAGCAGGAATTTCTAAACAAAATTGAATGCCAAATTTACAAATGATATATCCACACAACCAGAATTAGACAACCGAAATAACATCAGCTGGCCATTAGACTTTTCCTGGAATTTGATCTTAAAATTCATCCAAGGCAATGATTGAATTAATTATTTCTCAATGCAAAATTTTAATACTTATAGACACTTGAATGGCGAAATGTATTTAACAGTCGGGGAAAGAAAGAAATGAAGAAAAGGAGATAATTGAATCTGTAGAGACCAAAGTAAGTAAAAACGTATTTTATCTGACATAATCTATCTCAATCTTAATCATCCAATCATCAGTCTTAAACTAGGTACTACTTCAAGCTGAACCATTGCATCTTAAACCTTTCAGGTTGCTTTCAAAAAGCAGTTTATTAGGGGAAATGGGGAAGAAAGGGTTCTAAACATGCAGGATGCGAGCTTGTAGGAGCTTTCCTCAAAGTGGTGACAACATGAGGGCTGGAAAGTTGTTAAACAAAGGGTTTAGGAATTTGAGCTATGGTAATGAAACATCACTTTCTCTGGTTCCAGGGACTAGTTGGAAAATTTGACCAGTAGTTGGAAGATTGTTACATAGGTCACCTCACTAAAGCATCTGAACTACATGTGGAGTTCAACATTGTAAATCTCTAAAGCTCCAAGATTTATCTGATTCAATTCTTCATGAATAGAAGAATGACAATGAAAAATTCAAAGGCAACCTGGTCTCTTTAAAACTTGGCATTTTGACTCATCAAAGCTGAGTAGGCTGTGCTAGCAAATTCAAATTTCCCAAGTCGGAGACTGCTTGATCATAAGAAAAAATATTTAACAACAGCATTGTAATTACCACTAATCAAGTCCATATAGTACTATAATTTCTACTCAATTTTTTGCACCTTCAAATCCATAAAAAAGCCTTTTGGTCCATGTTGATTCCTCATTAGACATAAGACACTGTTTTAGTAAATGTACTGGCAGCTGAGAGATTACTGTCTATGAGGTTGCCTCTTGAAATCGGCTAATGCCTAGCAAACAACTTTAATAAAATCTTCATTTCTGCACATGTCCATGTATGCATATGCATGTGTTGTGCACATGTAAATAAGTGAACAAAAAAAATCCACCAAAATTCAACAAAAGAAGAAAAAGGATTTTTTTTTTGGTTGGTTGGGGGGGGGGGATCAAGTCCATATAGTACTATAATTTTTCTACTCAATTATTTGGCTACCTTTCAGAGATCCAGTAAATAAGCTTTGGTCCTGTTGATGTGCGCTCATTCTAGAACCATTAAGGACACTGTTTTTATTAAATGTACTGGGCAGCTGAGAGATTACTGTCTATGAGGTTGCCTCTTTGAAAATCGGCTAATGCCTAGCAAACAACTTTTAATAAAAATCTTCATTCTGGCAATGTCCATAGTATGCATATTGCATGTGTTTTTTCGACATGTAAATAAGCTTTGTGAATACGCGCAAAAAAAAATCCACCAAAATTCAACAAAAGAAGAAAAAGGATTTTTTTTTTTGGTTGGTTGGGGGGGTGGACGAGGTAGAAGTGTTCTGAGGGATATTACTCCCGCTCTGTCACTTGACATATAAGATTCCGAAATTATACATTGGAAGGCATTAGCCACAAGCAAATAGCAATTCCCAATTAAGTGTTGGTTGGGGGGGGGGTGTCTGAGGAATACCCGCTCTGTCATTGCATATAAGATTCCAATTATACATGGAAGGCAGCAGCAAATAGCAATCCCAATAAGACATGCAACAGCAACACAGATAATTACAAAGATCACATCGAAAGCAAGAAATGTAATACAAAGCCTGCAAAAAAATCCAGTTAATGAGTCAGTCAACATGTTAAATGCATCCTGATATAACCTAAAACACATTAAAGGAAAAATTTGTCAAAACAAACCAGTATAGCTGAGGTGAATCACGCGTCAGGTTTTGGCCACCAGCAGTAACCCAATAAAATCCGATGATCCACCAAATAAATGAAAACATTGTGTTTGCAGACTCCAGATGCTTTACAACACTGCAATAGCAGAAATTGAGGACCCCCTAATTATCCCTAATTCATAAAACTACAAGCTTTGAAGGTCCATTCGTCATACTTAAGCAAGTAAGCATCATAAAAGTCACTAATCCTAAAAGAAAAAACAAATATTTGTCCTATTTTCCTATCAACACAAGATTTAGGAAAACAAAATCATACCTAGTTTCTTCATCATTGGCACGCTGTCCAGGGCTATAGTCCACAGAATCTCCTCCATCACTCCCCGATACCGAGCTAGTATCTTCACTCCTCCAGCTGCCACTCGCTCCCAATCCCACATTCCTTTCATTAAGGCGCCTTCTGTACTCGAAGATCACACACGCAATATGAAACACACACTGCAAAGCATACCCAATTATCCACAACCTCAACGGCACCTCAGTCTCCTCCTTGACGCTCAAAACCATTACTACTACAGCAATCCCCACAAACGCAAAATTCCACAACACATCGAGCACAATAATCGGCTTCGAGTAGGACCAGTCGGTCTGACGCTCCTCAAGCTGTTCCGCTGCATTTTCGCGGACCCGGACAGAGGGCTCTCGAAGCATCATGCGCCGGCTGCTGGCTCGTCGGAGGAGCCTAGCAGCCGCACCACGGAGAGGCTGCGGTGGACGCCGTAAAAGGCGTCGGCTTCGAAGAAGGTGGTCAGCTAGCGAGTGGGTGAGGAGTGGCGAACTGTCGACGGTATCAGACGGTGGAGACGACTCTGAAGGATTTGTGGTATGCATTTTTTGCAGGTTTTGATTAGGGTTGTGTTTGGTGTAGAGAGTTAAACAAAAATTTGAAATTCAATAATTTGAACTTGAAGGGTTGAATTGATGGTTGGAATTGGGGGATTTAAGTGTCTGTTTGATATTTTCGGAAATTGAATGGGAGCGTTTGAATCTGAAGGGAATTTAGATACAGTTTGTTCACTTTTTGTATGCATTTAGGGACTTTTTAGCGGATACACTAAAGAGGATTTGAAAATAATAAAAGCGAAATCGAAAACAGGTACAAGCTGTGGGGCCATTCGCGGGACATCGTGACGAGTTTTAGGATTTTTGCTCACCTGCCAATGTTTGATTAACTTGTTACTCGCGTCACAGGGGAACCACGTGTCGTTATGATATGTTAATATATTATCCTTATTACTCCCTCCATTTCAAATATTCATTTTCCATTTTTATTTATCTCAAATTAAGGTATTTCCCTTTTCAAAATTATAACTAATTTTATTTTTTAATATTAGAAATATATATAAACTTATTTTTAGAATAATATTAATTATTTAGAAGAAGTATTATTATAAAGATGATGATTTACAAAAAAAAAATATTAATATTGTATTAAATAATTTACTTTTATTGCACATCTTTTTCCATAAACAATTTATTTCTAATTTAAAAGTTGAATTATGAAAATAAAAAGGAAATAAAATATTTGCAGAGAGGAAATTTAAAAAAAATAATGAATTCAATTCAAATATATCGGTTTTAGATTTGACTATGTAACATATTAAAACATACTAAATTAATAAAAATTTTAACAATTGAAAACATTCAACTGAAAGACCTCTCATTTCTTATATTTTGATAGAAAGTGAGAAATCTAATCATACATATTTAATTAATAATTGAGTATTTATGAAAAATAAAAATGAAAACATTATTATAATTATCATTTTCTCATGCTAATTAAAATTTATGTAATTTTATTAATATATATGTATATGTATGAAGCTAGTAAGTAGAATAGACTTTTTTTTTTTTTTTAAATATCAACAACATTGAAAGATATTACAAGTAACTAATTAAGCATGTCAAGGGAATTCTTCATCCTTTCTTTATTTGGAAGACAGATTTGTCGTTAGGAAAGAAAAAACATGAAAAAATATTAAGAGATATGATTTTTCTTATTTGGGTGAAGAAAATATTAAATTATTGGAAATATGCACCATTTTATTTCAGAATTCACAAATTTAAAGTGTATCTAAATTGGATAACAAATGAAGGATGAATTGAAAAAATATTATTATTCAACATGAATTTATATATTTCTTTTTCATCTATTTTTTTTCATCTAAATATGAAAGTGTCAAAAATAATTAAAGAAAGAGAATTATAATATTTGATTATTTTTCATTACTTTCTTTTCTTTTTTTTAAACAAACTGTATTGTTTTTGTACCGGACTATGTTATTCATTATATAACAGATTAAATTATACCTCACATGTTGTTATTAAATATAATTTTAATTTATTATATATACTAACATATATATTTTTTCTCTTCTCTCATATTTGACTGTCATTTTTATAGGGGAAATATTTGACTATGTTAAATATAATTTTAAATTAGTTACGCTCATATAATCTAATTAATAATTATCTATTTGAAGGGTTAAATAGAAACTTTTTAAAAAGAAAAAAAGAAAAGGAAAGAAAAGAATGGAAAAGGAAAGAAAATGAGAGTACAAAATTTTTGTGGCGGCATACGCGAGTGGGATTCGTAAAGACCTTGAAAAGGCCCTGTGGGGTCACGTGTGAAGGGATGACTTGGCCATGACAATATATAGAAAATGCCATCGAATAAAAGATAATTATAGAACGTACCGCGATCGGACGATGGTTACCCTACGTAAACGAATAAGCAAGCGTTTGATACAGACACGTGCACACTCTCTACCTGACACTGGACTTTACTTGTTTACTTTTTCGAGTAAGTTCCCGCCAATGTCTGAACGGGCGAAGCCCTTTGACGTAAAAAATTTCAAGCGGACCCATGATATATATATATTTTTTTATGAAGACCCACGATTTTTGACGATAACCATTTGATCTTAGTCTGATACAATTGAAATTTTAAGTTTTCAATTCATTTATAAACAAAATAAAATTAAACGTAAGGAGCAAATTTAAATATTTTTATTTCAATACTTTAGATGTTTAATTATTCATTGATGAATTTGATCAACGATTGGTTTTAGTTTGTATCAAGCTAAACGACAGAATTAATTTCCCCTGTTCTGGTCTTTTTGTCGTCTGGAAAATGCAGGTTCCAACACGTCAATTATCGTTTATAGTTCGTCTTACTTCTTCAAAGGCTCCTGGCAACTGGCAACTCTGGCAATCAACAGATGAATTTCCATTTCATCTGGATTTAACCTCATTGAAGATTTGTCCGTATATTTTGAAGGATGGCTGTATCCACAAAAAAAAAAAACCGATCGCTTTTATTTTGGTCTTCTACTCTATAGCTCAAAAGTTTGAACATCCTTTTTCGCTTTTATTTGAACGCCGGTCCCTTAAGAATCGTTAAAGTATTACATAGAGGCCTGGTACGAGGTGATGAATGTTGACATAACCGCAGAGAAGCAAGGAGGGAATGCACAACGTGCGAATTTTAAACTCGTACAGGCGTCCATTTGAGCAAATAAGTCTGACCCATCAATTACACAGCATTGCGAAACCAGCAGCATTTTCATCTTCGAGAATCGAGTCAAATCGAATTCTGAATAATTTGTCAAAACGAGGTCGGATCGAAGATGCACGCCGCATGTTCGACAAAATGCTCGAAAGGGATGAATTTGCGTGGAATACAATGATTGCTGCTTACGCGAGTTCTGGGAGATTACTTGAAGCTAAGCAACTTTTTCATGAAGCCCCGTTGAAGAGTTCGATCACATGGTCTAGTCTTATATCTGGCTACTGTAAATATGGCTGCGATGTTGAGGCTTTTGAGTTATATTGGCAAATGCAATTTGAAGGACAAAGGCCTAACCCATTCACATTAGGGAGTGTACTTAGGCTCTGTTCAACGATGGGCTTTCTTCAAAGAGGGGAACAGATTCATGGGTATGCGATAAAGAATCGACTTGACGGTAATGTTTTTGTTGTTACTGGTCTAGTTGACATGTATGCCAAGTCCCAGTGTATTTTGGAAGCTGAGAAACTCTTTCAAATAGAGACTGATAGCAAAAATCATGCGACGTGGACAGCTATGCTCACTGGCTATGCTCGCAATGGGGATGGGTCCAAAGCAATACAGTTTTTTCAGGACATGAGAGCTAAAGGTGTTGAGTCTAATCAATTTACTTTTCCTAGCATTTTGACAGCCTGTGGATCAGTTTTTGCTCTTGATTTCGGGGTTCAAGTGCATGGCTGCATAGTTAGGAGTGGTTTTGGTGCCAATATTTTTGTTCAAAGTGCATTGGTTGATATGTATGCAAAATGTCTGGCCTTGAATAGTGCAAAGAGGGCATTGGAGAATATGGAGGTCAATGATGTGGTTTCTTGGAACTCTATGATAGTGGGGTGTGTGAGGGTGGGTTTTGTGGAGGAAGCTTTGTTTTTGTTTCATGAAATGCATTCAAGGAATATGAAGACTGATGAATTCACATTCCCGTCTGTGCTAAATGCTTTTGCATCCACGAAGGATGTGAAAAACGCAAACTCTGTCCACTGTTCAATTATCAAAACTGGATTTGGAGCATACAAGCTCGTGAACAATGCTCTTGTTGATATGTATGCTAAACAAGGAAAGTTGGATTATGCATTTATGGTATTTGACCAGATGCCGGACAAGGATGTTATTTCATGGACCTCCCTGGTTACAGGTTGTTCATATAATGGCTCCTATGAAGAGGCTGTCAAGTTGTTCTGTGACATGAGAATTGCAGGTATATCCCCTGACCAAATTGTCCTTGCCAGTATTCTGAGTGCTTGTGCAGAACTGACAGTTACAAGATTCGGTCAGCAAGTACATGCAACCATTATTAGATCTGGTCTTGGATCATCCTTATCAGTACATAACTCTCTTGTGACGATGTATGCAAAGTGTGGGAGTATAGAAGATGCCAATTGTGTATTTAACTCCATGCAATCTTGGGATGTCATCAGTTGGACGGCTGTAATTGTTGGATATGCAAAGAATGGTAGAGGAAAGGATTCTCTAAATTTTTATGATCAAATGATTGCTACAGGCATAAAACCAGACTTCATTACCTTCATTGGTTTATTATTTGCTTGCAGCCACGCAGGTCTTGTGGAAGATGGTCGTCGTTATTTTGAATCAATGGAAAAGGAATATGGAATTAACCCCGGCCCTGAACACTATGCGTGTATGATTGATCTTTTTGGACGCTCAGGAAAACTCGCTGAGGCCAAGGAATTACTTAATCAAATGGTTGTGGAACCAGATGCAACTGTATGGAAGTCACTGCTTGCTGCATGCAGAGTCCACGGGGAGCTGGAATTGGGAGAGAGGGCAGCAAAAAACCTCTTTGAATTGGAACCCGCAAATTCTATGCCTTATATATTGTTATCAAATATTTATTCACTTGCTGGCAGATGGGAAGATGCTGCAAGAATCAGAAAATTAATGAAATCCAGGGGAATTAACAAGGAACCGGGCTGCAGTTGGATTGAATTGAACAGTAAAGTGCATACCTTTATGTCTGAAGATAGAAGTCATCCAATGATGAATAAGATTTACTCAAAGATTGATGAAATGATTATATTGATCAAGGAAGCTGGTTATGTGCCAGACATGAATTTTGCACTTCATGACATGGATAAAGAAGCAAAGGAGCTTGGTCTGGCGTATCACAGTGAGAAGTTGGCAGTTGCTTTTGGACTTGTCTCTGTGCCACAGGGGGCACCAATTCGTATTTTCAAGAATCTTCGGGTTTGTGGAGATTGTCATACTGCTATGAAATATTTATCAAGGGTATATCTTCGCCATATCATTTTGAGGGATTCGAATTGTTTCCATCATTTCAGAGAAGGAAAATGTTCTTGTGGAGATTACTGGTAATGGGTCGGAGCTGATCCTTTATCATTATCTTCTCAGTCTGCCCTGTTTATTTATCTGGAATGAAACAGATGAATCCTGTTACTGCCTTTGCCAATTTAGTTATCCAGTTTGAGTGCATTGAAGGAGCTACTTTTAAAGCTCATTTGCCACATTGTGTAATTTTGAAAGAGTATATCATATAGATGGTTAAACAAAAAAAGCAAGAGTTTTGACATTAGAAATTTGTTGATTCTTCACTAATTGGAACAATAAATATGCCCATCCGCGATATTTGATCATGAGCTTGAACGGATCAGGTTCTTGAATCTGATCTAGCATCACACCCAAAGCCTATGGAAACAACTTGAAAAATGAATGTGCTTTCGGGTGGAGTCATGCTTGCCTTCCACGAGTTAGAGATTAAAACATTGAGCTTTCTTTAGGTCAAAACGTGAAGCAGATTATTCATGGCCAATATATATTTTTTTTTCTCAAAGTTTGATGTAATACTTTGACTGCTGTTGGCAAGGATGATTGCTTATTTTTTTTCTATCCATCTTTTGGCAGAAACCGGACATAACCCGGAAAATTGAATTTTGATATAACACCCGAAGGAACCAGGTAAAATGTAGACATCATAATTCATCTAGATGATCTGTTTAATTCTTCTCAACGAATGCCCATAAACCATATACGAGAAACATGATAACACAGTTGTAACAACTCATTGAGCATATAAACACCACATTCTAAAGGAAATGGTCTTGGAAGTTGGAACCTCATCGCCAGTACCCTTAATTCAACTGGATACTTCAATCTGCAGCTCCAAAAAGTATTTCTGACGGCATATCCACCAGCCTAATCTTGTAAAACTCTCCTATTATCTATCTTAACCATCCCCATCTGGAGGTCAAAGATGGTTGAGCCTCAACAATGGGCAGGCAGAATGGTTTGCGTGGGTGTCTAAGCATCCAAAATTGAGTTGCATTGTCTACTGATTTCACCATCTCAGGTTTAGCAATCTTCTTTTCTTGCATGCTCTGGAATGAGACGTTGACACAGTTCAGCAGATGCACCAGCCAACTCTGCAGGCGGCATTTGGAATGAGAAATGCAAAGAAAAATCATTGGTGAAACACGATGGATAAGAATGATAAATTAGCCTACCTTGCGCTGTAAAATTGAACAAGGGAGGTAGTTCTCGTCCATTAGGCAAGCATGCATTGGGATTTCTCAAATCATCAAAGAAAGGATGAGCACATGCCTCCAGCTGAGATCCAGAAAATATAAACTAGGTTATTAGATTTTCCCTCCAAATGCGTTTGCAACAAGGCAGAAACATATAGTTAATGCAAGGTGGGGACAACTTCGAAAAACAAGTAGCACATAAAAATGAAACAGTATTTAACAGTTCTCAAAACCCAAAACTGATCGATTCCATCCAAGGTGTTAAGTATAATATTCTTACAGCGCTGCAACGTAGATTTGGCGAGTATTGCAGTAGCCTTGATACAAGATCCACTGCTTCTTGGGGCATTCGCTTGTGAAATATCTGCAGATTGAAAAATTAATAAGACTTTATGCCAATAATATATGAGGTAAGCAGATCTTGATAAAACTAAGAACATACCTTGTGCCATGGATGAGCTTTAATCTGAGGGAACTTAAATTCAGTGTAATTGGGATTCATGCACTTAATTTCTTCTCTAGTTGGTGTTCCCAGAACCTAATTTTAGACGACCAAACAAGGAGTGAGAGTGAGAAATTTGCCAAACATATAAACAAGATTAACTTGAACACAAAAAACTACTACATAATATACCTTAATGATTTCCACCAGCTGATCAACTCCGCTTTCCCCAGGAAACAGTGGCTGCAAAAGCAGAAAAAGAAAAGGGCAAAACCCAGATGACATCAGAAGTTGACATGACTACACACACCTTAAATGGTAGATACTAAAAAGATAATTCATAGATAAAATTAACAGTTGATAATATCAAATGCTCAACAATCTTACGCTCTGCAATACGCAACCAGAGGAGAGTGCAATTTCAAAGTTCTATTTAGGAGGATGAATTAAAAGGGTTATACATTATCAGTAATGCAATATGTAGACCAAACTGAAAGTCCACCAAATGGCACTATAATGGAAGATGGAAATTTTGGCATAAACAATCTGCCACAGATATTCAGTCAAACTCATTACAAAAAGGCCAAAATGAATGGATGAGATAGACCCACCTGACCAAGAAGTAGCTCAGCCAAGACACAACCAACAGACCACATATCAATTGCATTTGTGTATGCTGTAGCCCCAAATATAAGCTCTGGTGCCCTATAATATCGTGAGCAAATATATGATATGTTGGGTTCACCTGGCACCTAAACATAAGATGTTAAATTGCCCTTAGTTTTACATAAATGAACTATTTTTTAACTCCAACTGGTAAAAACAAAACAACCAAACAACATACCAACATCTTTGCACTCCCAAAATCACATATCTTTAGCTGATGAGTATGGGGATTGACCTGCAAAATATTTTAAAACTTCAAGAACGATGTTTTGTAAACATATAAGCATCAAACTTCAGGTAGGCAAGTTATTGCTGCTACAAGACTACAGGAATCACGAAATCTTTTTCTCAGCCTAATAGTATCCAGGGGCCCAGAAAACACATAAACTAGCCAGTTGATGCCTATTTTTCCTTTTTCACTTTACCAATGGCAAATGTTTTCCTTTATTAAACTGAAAATTTTTGAAACACAATAATCCATTACAAGTGGTAATCTTCCTCACAACAAGGTGCATAGTAGCCAATAAAACCTTCCATGTTGAGCAATAAGTAAAAACTTGTGCAAGGATCAAAGTTTCAAGTTATCTAAATGACGACAGAAAGACAACAAGTAAACCTTACCAGTAAATTCTGTGGCTTAATATCACGGTGACAAACACCAACTACATGATGCAAGTAATTTAGACCTCGACAAATCTACAGAGAAAAAAGAGCAGATTGTTTATTTCCCACAAAAAAACTATAACCAACTTAGCTAAATCACCTCCACAATTCATATCATAAAGATTTGAAAACCCATCAACAAACAGACAAACATACGTATTTTACAAATTTTACCTGGTATGTATAAAGTTGCACATATATAAAAGGCATGTTTTGGTGGTTCATCTTGTTGTACTGCCTAGATACTCGGTGGACTGTCTCAGGTATATACTCCAGCACAAGGTTAAGATATAATTCCTCCTTTTCAGTAGTTGAAAAGAAACAGTGCTTCAGCTCAACAACATTAGGATGGTTAAGTAAGCGCATGATCTGAAGTTCTCTATTCTTGTATCTCCTGTCCTGCAGCACCTTCTTTATTGCAACTGCTTCGCCAGATTCCAAGCACTTAGCCTACAGCATATACAGGAAAATGTGAAATGAAAAGGAGAAGAGAAAGGCATCATTATCTGTCTTGACGTAAAACAATAAATAGATCTGAATGCTTTTTACACGCTGATTATTCCACATACCTGATAGACAACACCAAAAGAACCAGTTCCGACCACTCGCTCTGCCATGAATGAGATTGTCTGGGACAAAAGAAATAACAAAATTGTTAGCAATATTGTCCCCAAAAACCAATATACATAAATCAAAACATAGCACAAACTGCCTAAGGGCCAAAGTAAATGTGGTGACAATGACATGGACTTAAGAATCATAACCTTCGGTCTTGGGACATTCTCACCTATTCTTGGATCAGAATGATAAATGACAATGCATGATATGTTAACAAACAATCCAACGTAAAACCTCAAGCTTCTTGACATGGGCCCAAGAATAAGCTTTATACCTCTAACATATCACCTCATGCGAAAACCTTAAGATGATGACTACTAGGATTTGAGCTCCAGCCATTTTGTTCAAAGAGACTTTGTTACCACACCAAACGGAGCATTTAACCTAAAAGCTGAAGCTTGTAACTAAGGACCTAAGAATGGTTTTATAAATCTAGTCTGACTACAGACAGATACAAACACAAGTTTACAGTATAAATATGTTCAAGTGAGCAATAAGCTATGTAAAGGAATCAAGACATTTAAATAAACAAAAATCTGAAAAGCAAAGTATCTGCTTACATCGATCAATCTTTAGCATGCGAAGTTTGAAAAAGGAAAACATGCACAGTAAAAGAATAGCAACTTAAGAACTACACAAGGAAAAACAAGTTATGAAACAGCACTCAAGAACAGTAGTTAAACAGAATAACTAACTGACCTGTTTCGGTTTTCCATTTCGACCACCCACTGTAGTTGCAATTATCTGACCTGTTTCAGTTCCATTACCACTCACAATGGCAGCCTCCATATCCTTCATAGTGCAATCAGACAGAAAATGGCTATTAAATAACAAATATCAATTGAGACTATCTGGACAAATCATTATTGCCACAATAAACAGACATAGTAAAGAATCCATTACATAATCTCTTCATTCTTGCTAATGTTGAGTAGTTATTACAGTGTACTAAAAAAGATTACCTTTTCATCATGGTTGGCGTTTTTTTCATCCCTGATCTTCATTTCACGCATTTCTTTGGGAAGCTGATCATAACCTGATTTTTCTGTTCTGGTCATCGAAGTTGCGTCTGATGTGCTTGCAGCATTTTCCAGTGATGTAGAAGCCATATGCTGCTCCATACCCGTGGCACTTCTCTCATCTTGAATTAATTCTCCATCGATCTTGTGATCTGTATCTTGATCAACCTTCACTCTCTTGGTCAAGGAGTCCCCACCCTAAAGGGGAAAAAGAAAAAGAATCACATTTATTATTATGCAGTCAATCACACATTTTTACACCATGACAGAATCCAAGAATAAAATGCTACATAAATAAGTATGGACATCTAGCCCATGCCAAATTTGTAGGCTCAGGCCTATTTGCAATTTGATTATTAGAACAAGAATATGAAATTATTACTTTGAATTTTCCCTCAATGTTAGACCAATAATAATGGATCAAAAGCTGCGTTATACGCTGATTCCAAAAACCCATAATGACATTGATGCAATTCAGGTTGGTTCACAATCCCTTCAATAAGCAGTTAAGAGCCATAAATGATTTATAAGATTACATGTGATTCTGCTTTAGCACTTAGAAAATACAGCTGATCTATAAGATTAAATGTGATTCTCTTTTGACATTTGATAGTTGACACTCCTCTTAATTGCAAATCAATCATAAGATTTCATAGTCAACATCACATAATGACAGAACACCTTAAATGGATGAGTTATCCAGCACTTTTCTCCATACTGAAGCTAGCATCACATACAAACACGCACACGCCAGATACTCTCACCTTCAACCTTATTTATAATAATAATAATAATAATAATAATAACAAAGATACATATTAACCATTCTTAGGAAAGAACCAATAATTGAGATTTGACCCATCAACCACTGCAACAACAATACTCTTCAGACTAGCCAACCACTAATCTATATTTCCATATCAATTACCAAGTAAAATAATAATCAAAAAGAGATATTACATCATTTTTAGAAAACTACAAGCAAAATAAAACCAATGTAAATAGTGCTCAATATAAGCACACGTTACACCTGAGATACAACGTCACATACCAAAATTGCTGAGCCAACAATAAAAATACCTTAAAGGCCGAAAGAAACACAAAACAGATATTTTGAAAAAGCCAAAGGAAAAATAAAACCCGGCAATGAAGACTGAATAGAGAGGCTAATTCCAGGAACAATAATTTCGTTTTCACCTCTAAATAGCCTTTCAAATTATAATACTGTGAAAATATGCGCGAGTTATGCTTATTGCCTACCACATGAAGGCACAAATTCAGAAAACCGATGAATCGAAATCTGAATCACCGATCCATCAAACCTCAGTAAAAATTGCCCAAAAACAACTAATATATCTTTTACAAATCTGAATATAACAAATGCAAATGTACAAACCCAATATAGATTCCTGATCATGAACCCATCAGCGCCAAAAATATATAAATGGAGCGGGAAAAAATAACACCTTTGCTCAACCGCGATTAGCTAATTATAAATTCATATTACATAACCTCCCATTATCCTTCACCTTAGCAAACAGACATTTAGGATAAAATTAAAATGCAAGGAAAAAGATTTGAACTTACAGGATCAGAGGATATAGATGTCCGACCAGAAGCAATGCTCTTTAATCGACGCATCACATTCATGGTTTCTGTCACGGCCGAAACCAAACCCTAATCTCTCTTTCAATCCCCAAAACTGACCAGACAAAAAAAATTAAAAAAGATAAAGTAAAACTCAAAAAGTCCCCCAAAAAAACAATCACTTCAGGCAGAGAGGAGAGATACTCAACCTTCTCTCTCCTCCGCTTCCAACAGAGTGAGAGAGAAGGATTTTTGAGATAAAAAAATTACAGAAAAAAATAACCAAACACGAAACTCGCAACAAAATCCCTCGGTTTTATGTTTCCTCTCTCTCTCTCTCTCTCTCTCTCTCAAATTGTTCTCCCTCTGCAAAAAATTCTCTTTCCACTGTTGAGCTCCATGTGTCTTTTTTTTTTTTTTCCTGGTTTTGATTTTTCCGTGGTCAAAGCTCAACCAAAGGCCGAAAGCCAATCATTCCAAGCTTCAATTTTTTTTGTACTTCAGTCAAAGGAAGATTTCTGACCGTCGATTGGTTATCATAGTGATCCAGCGGTCGAATATTGAGATTATTTTAGCAATGCAGCTCGCGTGGTTGTGTAATGTTACACAATACCCCTGTGCTGTTTAGAGTAATTACAGGAGAGGGATTTTGAGACAAAGATCGATGCGAGCGGAATATTCGGATGCTCTGACTGGTCCTTGACGGTTCTTTTTGCGGTCGGATTCAGCTCTAATTTCGGTTCAGAAGCTTGTGAACCGCTCTCCAGACCAGGCTAACAAACATTTGTTATTGTTGGGCCTAATCAAAGTTATTATAATGGGCTTGGACTCTACTTCAATTTGGAGACGAGTGATAGGCCTATCAGTTAGGCCCAATGTTTGCTTGATTTATATTTGTTCTTTTCCAATCCCAAATTTATTTTGCTAACCGGCCCAACCCATATGTAGCTTTCCGCATAAATGATAGAAGTTCAAGTTTTTTAAGTTCGACTTGACGCTAACTTGCGTGCTGTGCCATTGCCAGCTTTCGGAGTCGCCCTCGTCTTGCAACTCTACTCCCGCCTGCTCGATTTTTGGAAGACTTATTCCAAAAGCTTTCTCTATTCGGTAACTCTTCTTGGCTCCCACTCGTCCGATTCCGAAACTAGAACACCGTTGGTATCCGTAGCTATGAAGTTATAGGCCTACAACGAATTAGCAAAGTAGCGTTACAATGTTCTAATTGTCCTTTATAATGACCAATGCTAAATTGGATTACCTTTTTGACGAGAAGCCTCCATCCACTCGTGTAGGGTGGGAACTTTTAGGTTTTAGTCCGATACAAATCCTCTTAGCGTTGGCAGTTTGGCACTTGCTAAATATCTTACTTGATATAACAGTGTTAAATTTAAGTGGCAAGCTTGTACTTGTTTGCACATTCAAACCGTGTTTATTGACATTGAATATGAAAAGTGCAAAATTCTGATTATTATTATTATTATTATTATTATTATTATTTATATAATTGGTGTAAAATTCACTTGTATGTGACTTGTTGTTTTAGGTGCAACATGAGGAAGAAGGTTGATGATCGCATAAGGACTTTGATTGAAAATGGAGTAAAAGCTAGGCATCGTTCTATGTTTGTCATTGTTGGCGACAAGTCTCGTGATCAGGTCCAATTTGATGCTTTCTATTTGCTTTGGATTTTCTATCTACCTTTTTTTTAATATATATATATATATATATATATGTTTACTGTCTTCAAACTTAATTGTTTTGTGGCAGATAGTGAATCTCCACTACATGTTGAGTAAGGCAGTCACCAAAACCAGACCAACTGTTTTGTGGTGTTACAAGGAAAAACTAGAACTTAGCAGGTATATTTTTTTTTCCCTCTTTTGTTTTGTTTTCATCATCATTCATCACACTTATCCGAATCAAAAGAATGATATTTTCATAGTAAAAAAAGAAAAATATTGATGTAATGAGTTGGGAAAATTTTGGTAATCACTTCAGCTTTTGGAAAGAAATCAAATATTTGAGCCCTGTGAAGTCTTTAATTATATATGGTGTATCTTAAATTAGGTTGATATTCTGAAAGCAAAAACTGGTTATAGCTGATGAAATTCACACCATCCTTGAATGTAAAATTCGTCTAATTAAAATTTTGTTTTGCTTAAGATCGTAAGTGTTTCTTAGAACTATCAAGAAGAAGTGGAATTTTCACATGTTGGTTTGATTATGATGATTGTATGATTCAGCCACAAGAGGAAACGTGCAAAGCAGATTAAGAAGCTAATGCAAAGAGGACTTCTGGATCCTGAAAAGGCCGATCCATTTTCTTTGTTCGTTGAAAGTGGAGCAGTTTCTTATTGCTTATACAAGGATTCAGAAAGAATACTTGGGAATACATATGGCATGTGTATTTTACAGGTTTAGTTTCATTAAGTTCACAAAATTTGTCATTGTTATCTTTCTTTGTCAAGTTATTCTCATTCTTTTATCTGCTTGCCCTTATCCAGGATTTTGAAGCTTTGACACCAAACATTCTTGCAAGAACTGTTGAAACTGTGGAAGGTGGTGGTTTGGTGGTTTTGCTTCTTCATACGCTCACTTCGCTTACCAGTCTCTGCACAATGGTCATGGTTCGTCTGTTTGTTCCCACTCTTGTTTGTCTCTTTATGCTAATTATCAAATTATGTTCAGCAGTTTCAAGGATTCTCTCCATTTGAATAAAATGACATCATCAGTTGCTACTCTATCATTTTGACCATTTAAGTACAAATTTTGAAATCATTAGAATTGGAAAACTAACTCGGGGCTTCAAGTGAATGAAAATAATGGGGTTGCTTATAATTAAACATATGCGAATTTCGGGCGCTTCATAGTTTTGTACATAATTAGCTGATTTGTAATTTAGAAAATAAGAACCAGGTGATTAATTACCAAAGTAATAAGAAAGCAGGATTTGCATTAGTTTGGTCAGAGCCAGATAAAACATCTCACTTCTGATCCCTTCTCCATTTCTTTGATTTGTATATATATAAGTCTTTGTACATAAGTTAGCTGATTTGTAATTTTAGAAAAATAAAACCAGGCTGATTAATTAACCAAGTAAAGAAAGCAGGATTTGCATTAGTTTGGTCCAGACGCCAGATAAAACATCTCAATCCTGATCCCTTCTCCATCTGTCTTTGATTTGTAATATATATATCTATATATATCTATATATCACTGAAGAGAGAGAGAAGGTATTTTGAGAGAGAGAATAGAGAGAGAGAGAGAGAGAGAGAGAGAGAGAGTCATATTCTGTATATTTATATATCTGTCTATGAACATATAATGAATTTTGTTTCACGCTCTGCTCAGGATGTTCATGAAAGGTTTAGAACAGAGTCACATTCTGAAATAGTTTCTCGGTTCAATGAACGATTTCTTCTGTCTCTTGCATCATGCAAAGCATGCTTGGTCATGGACGATGAGCTTAACGTTTTGCCAATTTCATCACATGTGAAGTCCATCATCAGGCCATCTGCACCTGAGGTAATCCCTTTCCATTTTTTTATGAAGGAATAAAACTTTATTTATTTTTCTCGTCTTCAAAAATATTTGAGAATTTTTGTTGTTAAGAAAAGAGGTTTTTTTATGTGCTTGCAAGAGATCAACAACCATGGATATTGCTCCTAATTTCTATCTGGTGATAATTATGAATTCACTGGAGCGAAATGAAACTTTTAATATAAATTCAAGTGTTTGACACTTCATAGCCCAAGTTTTTTTGAGCCCTTTTAATTCCTTCGAAAGGATTATGATTCCATGGGTAAAGAAGAAGAATTAAGAAATTTGAAGGAACAACTTCATGATGTTTTACCTGCTGGGCCTTTACTTCGGATATGTACAACATTGGATCAGGTTGGTCTGGTACCTTTTAGTCCTCAAAATATAAGCTCATGCCGGTATTATTGTTGAGTATTACTGTACTATGTTTGTATTTGGATTTATTTAGGGAAAATCTGTTTCAACCTTCCTTGATGCCATTTTGGATAAAGCATTTCAAAGCACTATTGCACTGACATCTTCTCGTGGACGGGGTAAATCTGCATCTTTGGGTTTGGCAATTGCAGGAGCTATAGCTGCAGGGTAGGGCAGCTTCTTTACTTCAGTTTGCACTAATATCCAAAATACTGTACTTTTTAATTTTTCTAAAGGACCATCATGTATGCAGGTACTCACGTATTTTTGTCACTGCTCCTTCCCCTGAAAACTTGAAATCAGTTTTTGATTTCATTTGTAGGGGACTACGTGCCTTGAATTACGAGGTCTGTACTTGTCGCTGTTGACTGTCCTTGGCCTATACAGTCATTTCTGTTTTTTCCTTTTGGTAGTCATTTCTGTATTAATTTTTCCAGCTCACGTTAGCTTGCGGAATATGATTTCCATCGGCAATTTGATCACTTTTCAGGAACATTTGCATTACGATCTGGTCAGAAGCACAAATCCTGAGCTCCGAAAGACAGTTACACAAATAAATGTTTTCAAAGAACATAAACAAATAGTTCAGGTGTGTTAATTTTCTCTCATCTTCAGAAGAATTTGGAATAACCAGTTAAAAGCTGAGACCATGAATCGCGCTCTTTCCACTGCCTATAATCTCTTCTTTTTTTTTAAAAAAAAAAAAAATGACTGGGGATGGGGGATTGAGTGCTTGACCATGGTTTATTATTTATGCCATGACTTTATATCAACCAGTTTGCTCTTTGAACTTCAACCGAACCATTAATACTTATCATTGATATTTTGTTCCATTGGTAAAGTTAAAGCAAGATATGTTAACGTAATATGCAGCGTAATTTGAGTTTTTCTGTGCAATTGTTTTAAATTTGCATTTTTAACAGTATATCCAGCCTCATGAAAATGTAAAACTCTGCCAAGCCGAACTTCTAGTTATTGATGAAGCAGCAGCTGTTCCGTTGCCTGTTGTCAAGTCATTGCTTGGGCAATATCTGGTTTTTATATCTTCTACAGTGAATGGGTATGATGTACACTTGTCACTCTTTTCTCCTAGTTCATAAGGCTGTATCAATCTACAAGCAAGCATTAATGTTCTGGAGATTTTCCAGGGAAAATACGCACATACACACACAACACGTATAAATTAATATTTGTAAAAGACGGCATGTATTTGTTTCAGATATGAAGGCACAGGTCGCTCTTTGTCATTGAAACTTTTCAGTCTTTTAGAAAAGCAAAGTCAGATTCCTGCTTGCAGTGCTAGTTCCAGTTCATTTGGTAAAATCTAGCACCCATTTGATTTTTCTATCAAATTGCGCTTCAGGTTCCTGGACCCTTTGCGTCTTAGCGCACCTTGGGCCTTCAACTACACTGGTGAGATATTACATCAAACAACTTATTAATTGCAGGTAACCTTTTCCAGAAGATAGAATTAAGGGAGCCCATCCGATATGCTTCGGGAGATCCCATAGAGTCTTGGCTTAACAATTTACTTTGCTTGGATGCTGTGAATTGCATACCACCGATTACGAGGTTTTCTTAATTTTGTTGAAAGTTTGAAGTGTTGAATGCCCATTCATCCTTCCTCTCTTCTTTTCCCCTCTGTTATTGTTGTCAATGTTTTTTTTTTTTTTTTTTTTTTTTTTTTTTTTTTTTTTTTTTTTTTTTTTTTTTTTTTTTTTTTTTTTTTTTTTTCTGTTAAACTGCTAGGTTACCGCATCCTACAGAATGCAATTTGTATTATGTAAATCGAGACACTTTGTTCTCCTTCCACAAAGAAAGTGAAATATTTCTGCAGGTATTTGGAAATCTAGAAGGCTTTGTTCATTTTTTTAGTGAGGCTTCCTAATTTCCTTCTAACTCTAGTTATGCGTTTCTCTTTTCTAATTTTTTTAACAGCAAATGGTGGCTCTTTATGTTTCTTCGCACTATAGAAACTCTCCTAATGATCTGCAATTAATGGCTGATGCTCCAGCTCATCATCTATTTGTGCTTCTTGGTATGTTTTTTAAGTCCAAAGCATTGAGTTGCGTTTTCCACCTATGTGGATGTTCATTGTAGCCACTATTTGCAGGACCTGCTAATGAGGCAAAAAACATTCTGCCAGATATTTTGTGTGTTATCCAAGTTAGTATCAATAAATGTCCTTTTCTTGTTTACTCTGTCATTATCTCATGCATTTATCTTCTCCCTCTTTCTGAATTATAGTCTTCATTCATGCACCACTGATTAAACTTTTCCTTTCTTGATTTGCCTTCCAGTTATTTCTAATTATTTTCCTTCGAGTACGTGAAACTATGAACATGAATGCGTTTTCCATTTTTTTTTTCAAAGGTGTGCCTTGAAGGAGAGATTTCACGCAAATCTGCACTACAGAGCTTGCAAATGGGACACCTTCCCTCAGGTGATCAAATTCCATGGAAGTTCTGTGAAGAGTTTGAGAATACAGATTTTCCAAACCTATCAGGTGTTCGCATTGTCAGAATAGCAGTTCACCCCAGCGCTCTAGGGGTATTCTTCAGATATCCCATCTTTTTTCCTTGGTAATAGCAATCCTTCTAATCCTTATGCCCATTTGATTGGTTTGCAGCATGGATATGGTTCAGCTGCCGTGGATCTTCTAACAAGGTGAGCTTCAATTCATTCTACTCTTTTGTTGAGGAAAAAAAGTAACAGAAAAATATATCTAATTGTTTTTACTCTTGGGGTTTGTCTAATTTATTTGCATATGATAATGTGGAAATTTTATCCTGCTTTTACGGAAAGGAATCTAATACCCAGCATATTCTGCCTTTCCTGCTTTGCTTCTGTGTTCTTTGTAAATTCCACTGTTGCTGTATGAAAGGGATAACTGCTCTTTTGGAAACCTTTTCTTTTGAAGGATAGTTAAAACAAAGCAATTCTCTTGGAACAAAAAAAAATCTAGTTAATCTAGTTTTAAACTATATTACTACTACTTAGTGGCCGACTCTTCTTTGAAATCAATAACTTACTTTGAATAATGTAAAATGCTCTCATGAGTATCTTTTCGTTCTTATCACTAGTATAAAATAGTAAGATTCCAAATCTTTTTGAATGCATCTGTGATCTACTAAAAGTACCCTTTTCACAATTTTAAGGGTTGATATGCACAAATGTTAATAAATTGAAAAACAAAAGGCAACAAGTAGGGCCACAAGAATGAGGAGTGAAGTATATACCTTGTGTAATTGAACTTTGTGAGCCTGAAAGTTGTGTGATAGCTCACGATACAAGATTCTCTAATAGATATCTTAGATTCACGAGGACTGCATCCCAAATGGCCAAATCAAAAGCCCATGCCAGCTTTCCTATGGCCTATGACCATATATTATTCCTTAATACTGTTAGCAGTTCATATAGTGTCCTCAACTTCTGTACCAACATGGTTACTTTGGAATTTGTCTAGGACGAATAGTGAGGCAGAGAAATGGTTGGTCTCAGCCATGGATATGATTAGAGAACCAAAATACAATCATCTTATTTAGCTGTTCATTTAAGTTTTTATTCAGTCATTCTTGTAACAAGAAATGATCAACTTCAGGTATTACGAGGGAAAGTTGACTTCTACTGGGGAGATAATTGTTGAGGAGAATGTGGTGAGGTTTCATGACAGCGTCATTCAAGCTGCAAAGGAGGTTTGGCTGTTTACTATAGTTGGTTTTTGTGTTTTTGTTGGTTTAGCATATGGAAAGGATGTAGTTCATAATAATAATAATAATAGTAATAAGTTCAACAAAAAAGAAAGAATATTATTATTATTTTCCCCTCTCAAATAATAAATAATAATAATGATAATAAGTTAAAAAAAAAAGAAAAAGAAACTTATTATTTTCCCCTTTCCTTTCACATACAAAGCCAAAAATTTTCATAGTGATGATGCATATTCCTTTTTCCCTCCTTTTCACCTTTTAATTATTCATTATCTTGGGTGATGAGTGAGATATGGGTTGGGGGAAGGAGTTGGGTTTGGTATCTTATTATCTGCAGAAATAATGCTAATGATTGTAATTGCAGGTCTCCTTGTCAGAAGAAACCATTGCTCCTAGGAAAAACCTTCCACCTTTGCTGACACATCCTCGTGAAAGACAGCCTGAGAAAATTAATTACGTTGGTGTTTCTTTTGGGCTTAACAAGGATCTTTTTCGATTCTGGAAGAAACATAAATTTACACCTTTTTACATATGTGATAAACCAGTTAAGATTTTGTGCAATTTTAAGAATTTTCTCGGTTTCTTCATTTCATCAAATATACAGATGCTTCATTTGATGAATTTTATCTTTTGATGCATCAGAATGACATAACTGGTGAGCATAGTTGCATGGTATTGAAGCCACTGGAGACTGATGACATTGAACATGATGGTTTGGGTCCCCTAAACTTTCTTACTCCCTTCTATCAGTGTGAGCGACTTTATCAGAGATTTCTTGGCTAGCAAATTTCATTCTTTCAATTTTTTTATATCGTATAAATCATCACCTTTCACAGGTTTCAAGAGAAAGTTTGTGAAACGCTTTCCTTTGTGCTTCAAGGAGTTAGATTATAAGCTTGCCATGAGGTAAACTTGTACACACAGAATTTTGTTAGGAACAAACCGAGGAAGTTTGTCCATATGACTATGACTAATTCCCTCTTATGACTAATTCCCTCTTATGACTAATTCCCTCATTTCTTTGTAGCATCTTGGATCCAAAGATCAACTTCTCAGAAAATGAGGCTTCATCATGTTCAGAAAAGGAATCCTCTGTTTTGGTAAAATTGATTTGCTCTCCGGATGAATTAAAATTGCTGGAGTGTTATGCTAATAACCGTAAGGATTTTGGGAAGGTGAGGTGCTTGACTGGCTGCTATCAGATACTACGTGCATCAATAGGCTAAACCATCCATTTCCAGCTGCTTTGTTATTTTTCACTTATCATTTGCAGTGTTAGTGAGTATCAGCATAAAGTCCGAGTGGCTAATATCACCTGTCCTTAGGATATATGACTTGGTAGACTATATAAATGGGCAATGCATATATACGTTTATTTTTCTTCTGTGGCAGGGATGTGTTTGGGGATTAAATTGTTAATGGAAATGAATGTTCTTTTTAATGTGATTCAGGTCAAGCACCTCGTACCACTCTTCGCTTATTACTACTTTGAAGAGAAGATCCCAATTACACTGTCATATCTCCAAGCATCTCTGTTGTTATGCATGGGCTTGCAGCTTCATGATGTAACTTACATTGAGGTTTGAAACATTTAATAAGGAATTGTGCGCTTTTCCTCCTTTTCTACAGAACAGTTTTACTGATTCTTCAAAGTTCATTTCTTATGCCTAATATTTTTACCTGACTTCTGCCATGTGCATGTGTGTGTGCGGGGGGTGTTTGGTTGGGAATCAGGGAAAATTGAAGCTAGAAAGGCAGCAAATCCTGCATCTCTTCCGCAAGGTTATGGTGAAATTTTACAACTACTTATATGGTGTTTTAACCAAGGAATTGGATGCAAGTTTCTCTCAAGAAAGGAAGGTAAGTTGGATGCATCTTACTAATGTCTTTCAAAATAGCACCGAGTTTCAAACGCACTCCTCTTCTTCTACTTCTCCTTCTCCTCCTCTTTTTTTTTTTTTTAAAAAAGAAGAGCATGCATTTCTAACAGCTCGTGACATTGATCTGTGTGGAATTAGGTTTCGTTGGAGCCTCACAGTGTGTCAGTTGATGAAGATCTAAATGATGGTGCAAGGCTTGTGACGGTGAGTGTTTCAACTGTCCTCGGATAAATTTACCTACCACGTCCACTGGACACAAGTTAATTTTTATGATGAATGCAGGAGAAGACAAGAACGGATTTGGATCAGCTGAATCCGGATTTACTGCAGTAATATTCCATTAACAATAGAGACACTGAATTTACACAAGCTCTTCAAAAATGTAGTAAAATATCTGCTATTGGTCTTCTTAGTGTGAAGTCCAACAGAGACGCATCAGAGAAACGTAAAAGGGCTGAAAGAATTATTAGAAGTCAAAAGAGAAAGAATGCAAGTCTTTAAGCTATTATAGATTTTTTTTTTTTTTAAAGATTATTGGGAGATTAAACAGGATATATTTATAAATGCTTATGATACGATTAATGCCCATATGAAAACTTAACACTTAGTTCGAATTCTCTTATTTGTATGTGAGGAAAATAACTATTTTTCCTTATTTTAAAAATTACAAATTAAAATTTTTATTTTTATTCTTATATATTTTGAGAACTATAATATGAATAGGTATTATTGTAATTATCTATGAATAGAACATGTCTCATTTTTCTTTCTAATATAGAGAGATTTAATTTTTATAAGCCAAGAGGAATTTTGTGCACCTTTTTTTCATTTAATTTTTTTTTTCTTTATTCTCAAACAAAGTAAAATGACTTTTCTCCAATATTTTCCTCACCTTTTTTTTTTCCTCCCATATTTTCCTCCTATCCAAACATAATATAATAGAAACCTAAACTGATGAATATGTAAGTTGAATTTCAAAGACAGAATACACGTGAATTCTGTAGTACATGCATGGAAGAAAAGGCGAACTTCCTTTCGCACTCATCAAGAGATTTGTTGAGAAATTGAGTGCCCCACCGTCCACATGCGGTGTTTGATTCTGTCACTCTGCTTTCCCAATGCAATCTTCGAGGCACCCGCTTTAGCCTCAAATTAAATTTCATATTCATCATAGTTAAACCTTAAACTCTGTGAACGTGGACCCAAGTATATTGGGCCTACATCCTCTAAGCAGGCTTCTTTCTGGGGGCCCAAATCTCTTTATTTTCATTAAAGAATCAATAGTAGTAGCAAACGAAAAGAAAGGGAGAGTTTGCAATGGAAATTTTTGGGAAAGATAATCCACCAAAGCCCCAACTATCAAAGATATGAAATCTTGGTCAAATTGAAATGATTCATCTTCTCTAAATATGAAATCAAAGTTGAAATGCCCCTTGAAAAGTTAATTTCAATGAAATTTCTTTATATAGGTCATATCGGAACGGCCTACCACCTTCAAAAAAAATATCTCGAGCATCATTTCCAAATATGCATTGGAAACCATTTTCACCTGCAGTCTGAAGAAACTTGAGTGACTGGTTTTTCTTTTTCCAATTAACATCACAAAACGTCACTGATTCTGTTTCCATGCAATTTAGTTGGGTTTTTTTTTTTTTTTTTTTTTTTGAAATTTTTGGGAAAGTTAGATAAGCCGATTTCCCAATAAGGACCAACTAATCCAAATTAGATTATACGAAATCTTGTGTGCAAATGGAGATTAATGATATCATTCTCTCTACTCTATATAATATGAAATTGCAAGATTATGATTAATTGAGCCCCTTGGAACAGTTAAATTTCTTACATGTAAATATCTTTTCCTTTTATAATAATGGGTAAGAATCCCTGCCGCGACCCTACCACCTTAAAAAAATATAGCTCGTTACATCATTATCCAAATATGCATTGGCAGACCATTAGTTTCACCACTGCAGTGCTATGAAGAAAACGTTGAGTGACTTTGGAGATTTTTCTTTTTTTCCAATTTTAAACAAGACAAAAGACGTCAGTGATTTCTGGATCTTTCCATGTCATAAAGGTTGGTGTTTGAAAATTTTTTTTTATTTTTTTCTTTTTCGATATGCTGAATATTAATATGCCCGTCTGTTATATTTATTTACATAATGGTATCTAATACATATATACTATAGTGTGGTTTGCAATAATCAGTTAATTGTATAAAAATGTTTACACTTAACAGTCTTAAGCTATGAGCTATTTTAAGATGGATATCTTACTTATTAATTGCTTTATCACGAAGAGTAAGTTGGTTGTTCTTTATTCCTAATCTCTATTTGTTTTTTTTTTTTTTTTTTTTTTGAAGAGAATAAATATGCATGTCTTATTATTCATTGTACTATATATATGTGGGTCTGAATATCATTATTGTATAAAATGTTTACACTTAGCTTAGCTATGGCAATTAATGGTCCTACTTATTAATTGCTCCGAACCGAAGTGGTGGCATTTCTTCTTCCATTCTCTCCTTCTGCTTCTTTAGTTAATTAATTGCCTCACCTACCTAACAATCTCTTTCTTCTTTCTGCTATATATCATCTCCATTGAAATGAAGGGCAATAAATGTTTGATCCAGTTTCAACTTTCAGCAGGAAGAAAAGCACTTTTCTGCTTTTTCAACTCATACCCTTTTCTTGATGCAGATAGCTAGATTCAGTTTTACACCTGATCGTCATCATTACCATATATAAATGTACGTGTGTGTATTAATTATAACTTTTTTAAAAAAATGCTCAAACCAAACATGGGTACTGTTATCTAACTCATCACCAAATATTGGCAATGGCAATTTGGCTTTCTTGAAAACTAGCTTCTTCCAAATTGCAATTAAGTGAACTAACTAAGAACGTAGACAAGTGCTAATTATTGCACTCTGCTGTTCTGTACAATCATATATTTCACAGTTTCTTTCATAACTCAAAACTAAACAAACTTTATAATTACTAATCCTATCTAAATGAAGAACAGATTATCCGTGCTGAATTACAATTCTCAGAGGAAAAAAAAAAAAAAACAATTGTCCCTTATAATTAGGTATTAAGAGTGATTAATCAATAATCAAAAGGAATGCGATTGTTAGGCAGGATATGCATGTACTTGATGTGTTACATAAAGATTGATGAATGACATTCGACTTGGACAAGTTTAGGGACCCAAATTAGGTAGAACTAATTTTGGTCTAAATACGGAAAGTTATGCGATGGATATAATCGATCTATATATATATATATTCTTTGCCCTAAAATATAAGTCGTTTTAAATACTTCAAAGGGTAATAAATAATATTTTTTTTAGAATTACTCTTGGTTTTGAAATAAAGAGTACTTTGATCAAATTACCTTTGATTTTATTATAACTTAAGAGAATTAATTATTTTCTTAATACCCATGTAACAATCTTAATGGCTTATATTTTGGTTTGTTTAAGAAAAAACGTATTACTAAATATGATTCACGAGGAAACATAGAATTTCAATTTTGTAGTGAACGTTGATCAAGGTTTTCGTGTGATGCACGTGAGTAATATTAAGCAGCACAAGTAATTGGATTGCTTCTTGAACCCTATGAATTAATTAAACCCTAATCATAAAATCTTTTACTCTGCGAAAAAAAAAAAAAAAGGGATTGGTTCTCGAACCCTATGAATTAATTAAACTCAGCTTAACCCATAGCTTACTGGGTCTAAAGTGTGTATTAAGGATTTAATTAAATGTAGTAATTGATTTGAAGGGTGGGTATTATTGTAAAAATCAGTAGCATGCAATATTGAAAATTATTTGAATAGTTTTAATGGGCCAGCATTGTATTTATTTGTGGTTTGATTGTTGATGAAAGCTTTGGTCTAGCTAAATGGAGAAAGTTATTGATCTTTGATTTTTATTAATTGTATTTTTCGTCAAGTCAATATCTGGGTCCCCATAAAAGTTGATTATTCTAGGAAAAAGGCCTTCCTTTGGCATTTTTTTAACTTGTGAACCTGCAAAATCACATCAACCTACCAAAACAAACCTTTCCTAATTCAAGCAGTATAGCTTTCAATTTTATTTTGTCAAAGTGAACATTAAATAACTTAAAAGAGGGTACTTTGACAAAATTTATTTTTTCACGGACCTCGTTCAATACACGCTGTACACATCTAAATATTTTTTCATTTTTCAGAAAATTTTCCAATTATTTGAAAGGTAAATTTAGTATAATGGATATATACAAAATGGGTTTTTGGATTAATGGAAAATGTAAAGAAGACAAAAAAGATAGGGAGAAGAGCAAAAAATTGTTGCAGACATAGAAGTCCATACCTTGAAGTGGGGCAGGAATAATAATGGAATGCAAGAAGAGAAAAGGATTAATATTTAGGACGTAATCAAAGTGTAAGGTGGAACCCACCCACATGCAGGTTATGGGTAGAGGAAGCTGTAGAAAGGATCTGTCGCAGGAGAGGACTTTTTGGAACTAAGACGAAGAAGAGAAGAGAAAGACAGTCCCGAAAGGGTTTCCTTTCCTTTCCTTTCCTTTTAGTTTAGGGGCGAAGGGGACCATTCCCTCTTGCGGATAGCCTTTCCTTGTCTTGACTTTTATTGCCTTCCTCTATACCTACTCGTATTATATTCACACCATCTCTTTCTCACGTGCACCATCCATTTTATTTATTTATTTACTTACTTACTTTACTATTTAGTCCCTGGGGTTAAAGTAAATATATAGTATTAAAGGTTTCGTTTTTTAAATTAAATTAAATTGGGAATTGCGTGGTGGGTAGGGAATTATATATTTTTTGTTATTGTCTTCCGTGAGACTGACCCCACACATATATTTCTCATGTTGGATTTATTTTCCCACCTCAGATTTAGGGTTCTCATTTTTATTTATTTTAGACATAAAAATTTAAAATGATTTCGAAAATTTAGAAATTACGCATCACTCCTCACTCTTATCTTGTGAATTTCAAATAAAATTCATCTCTGTATCACAACCCAACAACAGTAGACCAAACACACACCGTTACTTTCACTTTCACCCCGTTTGTGTGTCAGCTATAAAACCTCTCCATCCATGTTACGTGTCGGTCTTTCATTGGTTCGTACAGCTAGCCAAGGACACGGCCAAACCTTCAGCATTAAATGATAGCAACGCTATTCTCCAACAACTTCTACCCCCGCATTTATTGCTCTCAGCCTCAGCAGTCTACTCCCCACCACCACAGATACCTTACTCTCTCCTTACCTCAAACGCTCTCTGGCGGCGCGTCAAGTATATGCACAACAACGCTCATCCCTAGATATTTCAGTTCAGCTCAGTGCAAGGAAAGAGATGTAGATTTTTGGTAAAACTCAAAAATATTAGATTAATACATGAGTTAATTACACCAGAAAAAAGGACACCAACAAGAGACTTACTTGTTTTTTTTCTTTTTCCCTTTCCAGTTCCAAACCAATTAAAATTAAGAAAAAGAAAATTGGATTAATAATGAAATTGAAAAAAAAAAAAAAAAAAACAAAGTCCCTCTTTTGGAAACTAATATTTTTACTAATAATAATTGAGCCAATTCAGGGTCGACCTGAGTCAATACCCGAACCACCACCCTTGCCTCTGTTCTGCTCTGCATGTACGTACCCGAGTCACCGACAAACGCATATATCCATGCAAGGAGTCTCCACGCGCGGTTCGTTCTTGACTCAACACCCACAAAACACCGTTTTTTTGGTTTTCTTTATATAGTCTCACTCACCAAGCTCTCTCTTTTTCTTTTTCCGCCACCGCGAATCACACCACACTTAAACAGACACACACTCGATGTTAAAGATTAAAAACAGAGGAAACTACAGGTTCACGGATTGATGATGATCAGCTTTCGCACTGAAGGGCGGCTTTGATCTTTTGGACAGTGCATGAGATGAGATTGTTGACCGTCTCCACCGATTCCACAGTGAGCTTGGCTGTAGGGAGACTGTTCACCAAGATTTGGAATGCCACCGTCAAAAGGGACCCACTCACCCTCTGTTGGCCGCCACCGTTGTTACTACTTGGCCCGTTAGCATTAGTAGAAGGGGACCCACGAGAACCAGGACCATCAGGGACGATAGAGAAGCCCGATGGAAGTAGTGCTACGTAAGCCGAATCGCCACCGTTCATGACCACGTGCATGGCTGGAATGTCAACGGGGGCGTACACTACAAGCGACCCCGCCGCGTCTATGCATGTCTCCTGCAGGATCAGCATGCTGCTCTGGTTGGCGTTCATAGCCTGCACGGATAGAATTATATGATAAATTTCTCTTCTTAGAAGAGCCCCAAAATGTAGATATAATTACAGGCATGCCATTGGGATTTCCAATTTTACGTGTTGTCAATTGAGGGAGTCAAACCCTGTGACTCGCAAAACTTTTTGATTTTCTAATAATCAATCAGGTAAGAGAGAGATGGGATCAGATTCATCTCAGAAAGTTGACAGGTGTTTTTATATTTTGACTTTTTTGATGCTTACAAAGCAACAACTGTCTGCCTATGCCTGTCCATTTGGATAATTCCAAATTCCCAACTCGTCCTTTCTAATTCACCTTTTCACACATCAATTTGACCTTTCAGCCAGGGACACATCAGACATTTTCATTTCTATAAAAATTTTAATAATAAAATAAGAGAAAAAGGATAGATTACATACGCTGGCACGTAACAGCGAGACGCAGTTGCCGTGATCCTGGCCTTTGGCTATGTGGGCCATCTCCTGCATGGGTCCGCCGTTGGATAAAATGTCCCACTCGCTTCTCAGCCGTTCATCGCGCAGAAAATCAAAGAGTCTTTGTGGAGAAACCGGTAGCCAAACAGAAGTAGCAGCGCTCAACACAATTCCCGGTGGCTCGCCGGGATCATCAACGCTCTTTCTAGTCATAACCCTAACATCTTCGTCCACGTTTCCTGCATTCAGCTTGTTCCATTTATGGACCGTCGACGCGCAAACTCCGGCACAGAAATTATCAGTCATTCTCTGGGCAAGCTTTAACATGCTTCGTCTTCCACTTGCAGTTATCGCTGCAAAATTAACACTTTGTTTATCAACCTGTACCGTACTGTACTGTGCGAATAAAGAATGTAATAAACAATGGTGGTTATATCAACCTGTATGATCTCTAGAGGGCACAGTGGACGACATGAGAATGGCTAGACACTCGCATTGGCGTTGAAGGGTGGCTACCCATCTCTGAGCGCCGAAGCCCATGCCGGAACTTATCAATGGGCGATAAAGCTGGTGAATTTGACTTTCTTCATATTCTGCATGCTCAACCCAAGTAACCTGCATTTCATTACCAACTAGTTATTTTCTTGCATCGATATAATATTACAAGGTGTTGATAGTTACAGGTGAAAACATTAGGTTTCTTTATTTTGTCAGCCAATGATCTTAGAAATTAAAAAATAAAAAAAAGTTTGTGATATAAAGATGAGATTCTGCTTCCATGGAGAAGAAATGGAAGCTGATAGTCAAACTTTAAAAACATAAAATAAATCTGAAATGGGACTGTGGGAGATTCTTAGTATATTATTATTATTATTATTATAAGTAAAATTTTCTTCAGAGTCTATATTATATTATTTTGGGAGGTCAATGCCCAATGCCATTGAAAGGGAAAAAAAGCAAAATATTTCACCAGAGGGAAATGGAGACAAATCTCGTAAATGGCTCGAGGCTGGGCTCAATGAAAAGATTGGCATCAAATAGATAATAAGATAAAAAGGGGTTTAAAAGATTCGAAGGAACACAAGGTACAACGTAGAAGGCGACATCGAGATGTGTACTGTTGTTTAAAAAAGGATTGGGATACTCATATGGAAACAAAATAGCACAGTCATGGAGTTTGACTATAAGGTCTCTTGTGAGCACATATTCAGGCTGGAACCAGATCACACACAATTAAATTATTAATTGTAAGTAAGATAACCAAGAAAGACAGCATCAAAGATTGGAATAGAAACATCAAATACATTGTTTATTCAACCCAGGTTGAAGATAACTGGACATTTACCAGTAAAGGATATGAAATCAATGTGTTCAAGGCACCAAAATATAAGTAATGGAGGCTTCTATTCATAAAAATAATGTGAGATACTCGATTTGCTAGTGTACTTTGGGAAATATTATAAATGATTAAGCAACCCTAGTTGTTGAAACTTGAAATGTAAACAAATAATTTGAGACCATAAGTGAATATAATAATAAAAAAAAGGTCGTCTAGGAAGGTTCAGATACCTTGGGAGACTTAAAAAAAGTTTAGGGGTGGTGACAGTGTGGGGATTCAGTGAGTAATCACTAGACAAAACAAAAGAAATTTTTAGATTGATGAGCCCTAATTAGTGGCTTGGGAATGGAAATGCTCATGATTTTTGGCCTTGTGTTAACTACTAAAGCTCTAATGTTACAAATAATTTAACAAACTCATTAATGGCTAAAGAAGTAATAATACCCACCTGGAGAAATGTAATAAATGTAAAAATAAACAAACCCAAATTGAGTTTTAAGTAACTGAACAAAATGTAACTAGCAGTGCACAAGTGATGATATTTTTTTACCTTCGAGTACCCATTAGGCATATCTTGAACCACACAGCCAGAAGGAAGCCTCCTACAGTTAATAAATGTTGGTGCACCAGAAGTTTCCCGGATAGTGTCAATGGACACATCAACAACTGCCCATACACCCTCTGCGTGCTGCTTGCAGAAGCGGAGAAAATTTACCTCACGGACGGGGACCAAAGGAGATAGCACTTGAAGCTCCGCATGCATCTGCAATTGATTATTAATTGATAATATGTAAAAGTGATGTTAATTAGAAAATGTATTATGGCTTAATTTATCAATTGGTAGCTAACAATTACCAAAAATAGCACTTCTTGAAAAAGAAAACAGTAGCTAGCTTACCAACTGAAGTGAACCATTTCTAGTTCCACCCATTCCACTAGATATCACATCCGTCGTAGTCGTCCTTGCAATCATGCAAGGAAACATTTCTGCCCATCGATTCTACAAAACAAAAACCATAAAAATTAAATAAATTTATTACGAACACTTTCTTGCTACTTTTAATGGTTAAATGAAAAAAAATGGAGGATGAGAGAGCTTACTGAGTCCATTAAAGTCTCAACAAGAGCCAAACTGTTGATGATTACCGTGCCAGTCTCCCTAGATGCCTCAGAAAAAAACCCGCTAGGTTTCATTCCAATACAAGGTGTGAATGTCCTCATATACTCTTCATGGTTCAATATTTCTCTACCCCCTTCCAAACTTCTAATCCAAAGAGGCTCATCAGTCTGTGCCATCTTAACCAATTCATCCATGGCAGCTAATGCCAGTTCTAGAAACATAGATCTCTCAAGTGATCTATCAAGACCCGTTACGCCCGTTGTGGTTGATCTTGGTTGATTCATCACAGGCAAACTTGAAATCCCACCTCCAAAATCAGGCCCTAAAGGCAATGTTGTAGCTACAGTGCTTAAACCACCAAAGCCATTACTACCAACGCCAAGCTCCAAGCTTGAATTTGGCATCGGAGGGCCAATTGAACCAGCCAGTGAAGAAATGGGACGACCCAGGAACTTACCAGCAAGGGCACACACTCGATCTAGTTCATCTTTTAATCGGGCATTCTCAATCCTCAAATGTTGCTCTTCAAGTGAAATATCACCGATAATTGCTGGACCACCACAGTTTGAACAAATTGGGTTTCTCATAGCATCTCTAATGGACATGTTTTCAGCACGAAGCTTGTCGTTCTCTTGCCTGAGTAATGAGTTCTCATGGCGTTCCAATTGGGTCTAGTGCCAAGAATCACGCGTTTATTTTTCATGTCAAGCAAAAACTCAAAGAAAAAAAACCCGAAAATAATTAACCATGGGTATTAGTTATTCCTACCTTCATTTGGGTTCGGCGATTTTGAAACCAGAACTTCACTTGCCTAGTCTCCAAGCTAAGCCTTTTGCTAAGCTCCAGTCTTTGCTTTTCGTCAGGATGAGGACACTCCTTGAATAGACTGTGAAGATAAAGCAACAAATTAAAAAAAAAAAAATCCAGCGCAAATCCGTTCACTAATTCAAAAGGATCAAACTCTTGATAAAAGATGAAAATCGTACGCTTCGAGTTCTTGAATTTGCTGCGGAGTGTGTCGGTGGTATCTTTTCTTTCTTGGAGGATTGTCAGCTGCGTCTTGATCATCACCAGAAGCTCCATCCATATTATCACTACCAGATCTGCTTTCATGTTCTTCTTCTCTGCTTCTTCTACCACCGCTTGGCTCAAAGTTTTCAGCCATTCTACCCATATCACCTGGGCTATCTATGTTCGGTTGTTGCTGTACAAAAAGGAACAAAGTGATAATACATCCCAAGAGCCATCAAAACTGGGTGCTGCTAATATAAAAAAGTAACAAAGAGGAGGGAAATGAAAGGCCGTACAAGGGCGAGAGAAAGCCCAGGAGAGCTGAACATGGATTTGGTGAGAGAAGGAGAGACAAGGCGTGGCTGAGCTATTGCACCAGTGGGCATATTGCTGCTGCTGTATGGTATATCTGCCACGATTCTTGCACCTCCACCACCAGGACTACCGTTTTCAAGGAAACCCCCAAAACTCATGAACTTGATTATTGCCTGTTTTTTTTCCTCTCAGTATTATCACTTATAAACCCACCCTTCCTCTAGATTTGCTTCTTATTCTCTACAAATTTACAAACAATTTTCCCACACGTTACTCGTCAACAGATTTGCTCCATTTTCCCAATTAGACCCGTTAAATTGTCAACAAAAAGAAAAAAAAAAAAAAAGAAAAGCTAAACCAAAAAATAGTATTTCGAGAAGACAAAACAAAAGTAAATGAAACCAGAAAGTAAAGAGGTAGAGGAGACAGAAGGATAATATCCAAATGTCTCCAACTTCCTCTTCACAGAAACGTTTTTTTGTTTTTCAGAGAGAAAGAAAGAGAAAGAAGGCAAGCAAAAACCCTTTTATCTCCTGCTTAGCACTTCGTTCTCTATCCCTCTCTCTCTCCTCCTCCTTTTTCTGTGTCCCTCTAAAAGCTTATCGCTCTATCGCCTAAAGAAAGAGCAGAAAAAAGAGAGAGAAAGGAGTAATTATATTGCAGAAGTAAGCACTGAACAGCTTGAGGAAAAAAAAGAGTAACCCTAGTTTTGGGCTAAGGAAATATAATAGTATTTCGTTCTCTGCATGCTTGACTATACTGAGCTTCAAAAGGGTAGCAGGAAAATATGATAAAAAGAAGAAAACGAAAGATTTGCAGAAAGAAAAAAGAAACTTAAAAAAAAAAGGACAAAGCAAGAGAGAGAGAGAGAGAGAGAGAGAGAGAGAGAAGAGGAAGAAGATGAAATAAAAAAAAAAAAAAGGCTAAGATAAAACGCAATGTGTGGTGGACTCTTCGAAGCCTTACAAATACATAGCTCCAAAAAAAGGATCGGTTGACTCTCTTTCTCTTTCTCTTTCTCTCTCAAAGTCTGTGAATTTAACAGTGGAAAAAGAAAAAAATTGAATTAGCTTTTTTTGACTCTTTTTGTAATCAGAAGAAGAAGGCAGTGTAAGTAAAAACAAGTTACTTTTACAGAATACAGAGAGCTTTCAGATCCGTTGCCTCCTTTCTTGTCAATCCAAACAGGCCCTCTGCGCACTTTGGATCTGTAATAGCAACTGTACTTCTATTTTTAGGGTTTTGTAGGAATTAATTTAAGCTAAAAAAAGTAATAATTAAAAAAAAAAAAAGATTTTTAAGTATAAAATCTTAGAGCTTCTTTCGCGGTCGGTGATTATAGTTAGTTAATTACTAATCACTAATCATCAATTAAACTGGTAATCAATCTTTAACAATATTATCATTTTCATTCTTTTTTGGATTTCTTACAATTCCTACGTACTATTTCCTATTGACTTTTCATTATCATTTAGACTTTACGACTGTGTTTTGTCGTCCGTCCTCGTAATCACTAATTTAGTACATCTTTCACTATATTACGAAATATGACTTATTCATAATTTTTAAATATTATTTATAATCTAAAATTTGTTTATTATAGTTCGCTGATTTTTAATTAATAAAGAGTTTGTTGATTTTTTAATAAACGAATAAAATTATGTATATATTTTTGAATAACAAAATTAAAACTAAATAAATAATATAATTTGAAAATTATATTATCGGTGAAAAATAATCATCGTTATTTTTATATGATATTTTTATATGATACTGTATGTTTAAATACATTTGTGTGTTACATTTTAGAAAATATGCGAATATAAAATATTCAGTAATTATTTTGAATTGCAACGGAATTTTTTTTTTTCTTTATGGAACGAGCGATTAAATTTTCAAATTATGAGTATAGTTAAAAATATAAATCTGCATCATAACTATTTTTTTTACCAAAAAAATGAAAAATAAACAAATTGCTGTCCCAAATACAACGCTTGCCGTACAAATGGCAACTGTTATTTACTCACGCCGTGTATGACTGTGAACGTTAATTAGACAGATTAGCCCCGAAAAGGTGAAAAAATCTTGGATGAATTAAATAGGGCCAACGGAGAAATTCGGGTCAAGCTTTCTTACCAAACAATATTTAATATTCTTTTCTTCATATAATAGTAATTAGTTTAACTTTGACATAAAAATTTGAATTTTTTTTTAACATATAAAATTTCTACAATTCTAAATATTTTTAATCTTATGAATTATAAATTATAAATTTTAAGTACAATAAGAAAAAATAATTAATTTGAGACATTTTTAAATTAATAACATAAATTATAGTAATGTTTGAGCCCCTCGATATTTCTTCAACAATTACCAAACCATCCAGTCCAGGGACAAATGGTGAATATTCCATTTGTAATCGTAGCAAATGATTAAGAAATCTAATGAGAAGAAATGAGGACCAATTTGACTTTCCGGAGATTTCATGATTTAGTCAAATTATCAAAAAATAATAAATAAATGTAATCATTATAATCATTATTGTTATTAAATAAGCTTAGTTATTACTCACTACTATTATACTTAGCTGTGGAGTTATTATGTTATGTGCAATAATAAAAAAAAAAAATGAAACCAACACTTTTGATTTAATTTTAATTAATTTGAATATGAAAATTATTATTTAATTTCGACACAAATACGGAAAATTTGATAGCTAATGAAAACGAAATTAATAATCTAACATAAATGAATTGCCTTTTTCTTTCTCTACTATCCACTCTCCGTCGTCTTAAAGCAGTAGAAAAACTAGAAAACTGTCACCATTAATAGGAAAACATGGAGTTGCAAGCTAGCTGTAATAATAGCAGTAGATGAGGTAAAAATTACCAGAAACACGAACTCCGTGTCTATGGCTAGACATTTATGAGAAGTTTAATATACTAGATGAAGTAATTACAAGAGAGAGAGGGAGAGAAAAAAGGGCATGTGTTTAAGCAAAAGTGTCAGAAAGAAAAGAAAATGTAAAGCTAAAAACAAAAAGAAGAGAGAATGAAAATGGGATTATATAGCCATCTAAAGGCCCACAGCCCACATGACCTTTCACTCTCATTAGGTTGTAATCTGAACAAGACACCCTAATTCCTTTAATTTTGCTGTCCATGCTATGCCAAGCCTTAACTAATTCCATCACTCCACTTTCAGACACACTGACGGATGAGATTTAATCCTTTCCACCACTAAAGCATAAGGTTATTTTTGCCTTTCCAATGAAATCGTGTTCTCACCTTATGGGGATTAAGGTCGTTTGCCGTCACTCCAACCCATCTTATTGGTATTTTTATTATTATTATTATTATTTTAATTGTCGTTATATGGCACTATTTCAACAGGTGGACATTAGCCCCACCTTCAGCTAATTTCTTTTTGCTGTTAAATTAATGCCGCTGTTGCCCATATTTCCAGCCTATCGTCTCTTCCGTTTACATTATGAAGTTTGACCGCTACGAGTTATAGTCCATGAAGATGAAGAAGCTTTCTGACTTGTTCTACATCTTGACCATTTTTCAGTTTCTAGCAAATGCAAATTCAACTGGAGCTGGTAGCTAGATTGGATACCACTCCTTGACTTTTTATGAAATATCTTTGGGCCGTAGATGAGCCACGCAACCCCACTCTGGGATACAAAACCAGTTACAGTTACTAGTTAATGGTTGACAGTTGATATGTAGAGGATCAAACTTTTTTCTAATACTTGGTTGGGTTACCACATTAATCCTTAATTTAATTAGTGGTTAGAAGCCAAACACCGAATGCTAATTTTCAACCATCCAATGATAAGCGCAGAATGTAGATTCATTTCAAAGTCTTTATGTTTTGAATACAACAAATTGAAACTGAATCACATAGTTGAATACTTTAACCAGTTGCCAATTTTCAATGTTCATGATTTGATTTCTTATTACTTTCAGTTGAATATGGTAAGTGCTGTTGATAGACTCACACGTGAAAACTCCATTGCAGATGGAATTGATTGAAATGAATGATTGTCTTCCCTACCCGCGCTTATTACACGGATTTTGTTGCCTGCATTTACAGGACTAATAAGAGATAACCCGTCTCCGTCTGGCTTCCCCTTCCATTTGGGAAGCATAAAAAATGATTTTTTCGATAAAATAATTAGAATGATTGCAAAAATTGAATTTTCCAGAGGACAATTAGGAATGTGGGGGTTACTCGTGAAAAGGGTGGCTTCTAAAAAAGCCAAAAACTTTGCTATCAGATGGCCAAATATTTCAATCGGAAGGGAAAGTTTAATGGTGTCTTTTGACACGGAAGCGACTCAGTGCTATACTCTCTGTACTCGGCACAAAAGAAAGCGTCTTTCCTTTCAGATTGTGTCTTCTGCTCGAGATAAATGTGGGGTCGCCTTTCGGTACCTTCTCTCTATGTAATTTAACTCCAGTTGACCTGTGCTGTGGTTAATATTTTATAAATTATAAATTATAAATTTAATTTTCCGTTTTATATAAATAAATTTAAAATCTAAAATTTATTTGTGAATTTTATATAGAATGCATTTGAAAATGAAAATTTCACCTTTACTGTAAGGAAAAAATGCAATTATGTATGATTGTAGTAATAAATTCAAAATTAAAAATTGACTCGCTTTATTTTTTAAAATATCGTTGAGATAATAATCTCTGTTGAGTCATTTCTTCATGTAAAAATCAGCAAACAGGAAGGGACAAACAAGTGTCAAATGAAGAATATAATCTACGCACGAATATGAAATTATAATTGCTGCAAACATGCCTATTCTAAACATAAAAACTGCTTGTTTTTCCATCTATGAATTTACCTGCGATCTTTTGATATATATATATATATATATATATATAAACCCAATGAAGAGCAAGAAAGGAATCTGCATGCAACCATTTTATGCATGCAGATTACACATTGACTCAAATATAAGAATTAACAGGGGGTGAAAATTGTTACATTACAAAGAACAAAAGTGTCAGTGAGATGCTGAAGGAAGCTTCCAAAAGGTTTTCCTTGCAACAAGAATTTTCTCTCTCGCATGTGATTCAGGTTCCTTCTCATGTGTCTCAGCTGTCCACCTTACAGCTCGAACTATGTAAACCACTTTGTCAATCACTTCAGGAGTATCGCGAATTATAACAGTTCCTTCGGGACGTAATATTCTATCCATTTCCACTATCAAATCTACAAGGTTACACCTGCAGTACAATTGGCGATCAATTAAAATGCGCGCGTTATCCAAGAAGCTTAAGATTTCAATCTGAAAATTCTAAACATTTTGCTCTCTCTCTCTCTCTCTCATTTTGATTCTTCCATCTTCATATTTTCTCTGATGATCATTCTAGGGCCTGTTTTCTGCTTTGTTCAATTATTTTACTTTTTTTCCCCATGAATATATGTGGGACGTGAGTGCCTAAAGAGAGTTGGGCAAAGAGAGAGTACACAAAATACCAACAGCAAAACAATGAAACCAAAAAGAATGAGATTGATAGTACCTGTTCTTGCTTGAACCTGGGCTCTTTATCAGCGATTCAATGCTGGTTACATGAATGAGATCATAAGTACGAGGATATGTTGAGAAAGGCTCGCACCTGTGATCACAAAGTATAAATCTAATCAATAATGTTGGCAGTGAAGCCACCATAATTAAAGGAATACAACAGAGTGGATTAAATAACTTGGTCTAATCCCAGAGAAATTACGCTTCTAGGGTGACAACTTGGTATGACATTGAACTGAGTAATTAATAAATGCTCAGTTCATATAAAAGGAGACATGAGCTTTTAGAAATGAATAAATTAGCAACAAGAAGTTCTAGCATTCACGGAAAGAGGTAAGCTTGTCAGTTTAGCAACCATATAGAGGATAATTTCCAAGCAACTGGAAGCTGCTTTCAATTAAAATATCACAGCTGAGGAAGATGCTGGTTGCATGGCCTAGCCAACAGCTCCGATAGTAAGCCCTAACTATCTAACTGGCTGCATCACATTCTCTTGGCAGTTGCCACAAATTTGTAGACAATTCTTAAATAATTTTGAAAACAATAATATACAAGAGATCATTAACATTTGTAATAATAGTCAGATATAACTTAGCTTCTATGCATTTCTAGGTCAAAAGATACACTAACTCACCAATCATGGTAGAGTCCAATAAGGCCCCGGTCATAAATTACACCCAGTGTTGACAGCTTGCCCGCTGGAACAACATTCATCACCCATACAGGATCAGATGCAAGAGCTGCTGCAAAACCCCCAAAAAATGCATTCATGTCCATGACATTGCGTATGGCTTGAGTTCCTAGCTTCACATTCAATGAGTTCCTATAGTATACCACCCTCCTCGCCCAACGCCGTGTGTCAGCGTCAAACAAATCCAACCCATTTTTCACAAGCATGGCCCTTGAAGGCGCTTTTGCTACCCTATCTGGCCACTTAGGAATTGTCCCAAGAGCAAATTCCCCCGTGACAAAAGATGTCCTGCTCACACATTTCTTTAATTTGAAATACCTGCCATTCAATTTAGCTTAAAAATTCAGGCCAGAAAAAAACTTACATCTCAAACCCTAAATTAGCATTTTTATCAACTGTTCATGAATACGAAGTCAATATATGACAATGTGCAGATAATATCTTCATCCAAGTTTCTAAAACCTTCCTGCACATGTCTCAGAAACTGAGGTTCTATAGTTACAACATTACCAGGCATAATTTGGATCATCTGTTTCATCACATAGTTCAAGTCCAAATTCATTTTGGTTGGGCAGGCATGAATCTCCATCAGGCTTTTTCCAGATGACAGTGTTTCCATCCACGGCAATCAACTCATAACATAATGCTCTTGCCACTCCTTGCAGATCTGCCCATTCCTTGTCTTGTTTTGCCCACTGTACAGGAGGGCCAGAGATGACTAGATATCCTCCAGGGCGAAGTAATCGATCCACCTCCATGAAGTACGTTGCATCTGCAAAAGAAATTTCATGGTAAGAAACAGTAACAGGAGGTAGCAGAAGAAAACACTTACAAGGCTACAGAAACGAGAACTAACTGTATGCTGTAAAGGGGATCAAACATCGAGAGCAGTGCACCAAGTCAAATGAGAAAGCAGGAAAAGGAAGTCTCCGAGTGCCAAGCATAGCAACAAATGCAGGAATTCCTCTTTCCAGAGCAAATTGTATCTGTGATTTGTGTGAATCTCGAGGAGCAAATGAGAGAGTTAAAATCCCTTCCTTCAGCAAATACCCTCCAAAACTAGCAACCTGCAAAAGAATTGATTGAGGAAATTTCAAATGCACCATTACATTTAAGAGCTACAAAGCAATAGAAAAGCAGAAGTCCTACCCCACATCCCATGTCAAGGGCAGTCCTCAAAATTCCTCCACTTATAGGGATATACTGTCCAAGTTTTTCAATATATGGTACGGCTCCTTCAGGAAACATTGTACCACCACCAGGGAAAACAAAGTATTCACCTTCTTCTTTCATCCATCCTTGATGGCCTTTCCTGTCCGCAATTTTGTTGTGTGGCATGTTGGCATGCCATATCTGCGTATTGCATTAACGAAACTATAAGGGACAGTAAACAAACTCAGGACCCCACAACAGAGGAACCAAGCAGGAGCTGGCTTAGCGGATCAGAAGTCCAAATACAAATTGAACGATTGTATAGGAAAAAAGCAAATATGAAAAATCAATTTAAGTTATCCAAGTTTGATCTCATAAGTAGGCAGCATGCAAGTAAATTCTCATTCTTTCCAAGTTGAAGATCAAAAAGTTACTCATTTTCCCATGTTTTTGTCCAGTTCATCAACAACTAAACATCTAAATTGAACAAAAAGGCATACCTTATGCAAACTCTGGGGCCACTGGACCGAAATCCTATAGCCATTGGGGGGTGGGATCAAGCAGAGAGGGGTGTCATCGGGCAGCGGGCAGTGACGCTCTCTGTAGAAATTCATCTCTCTACTCAGTTGGCTATTGCGCCTGGGATCCTCACAAGGCATATGATCAACAGCATCCGCAGTACATGCCTCGATTGGCTGAGGATGGCGACCGGTCTCAATGAGCTCCACAAGACGGTGGCGCTGCCGCGGATCCGACGTGGAGAGCAGAAGAGCCTGGCGGCCGGAGGCAGCAAGAGAATCACCTAGAGGAGTGAAGACGAGAAGGAAGAAGAGAAACACTAAGCCGAAGAAAACAGCGGATACGAGATCGAGCAGCTTCCATTGCCTAGGGTTTCGTTTGGATGCAGGCAGATTCAAATGTCCCATTTGACGCTAGTGGTGGCGGGAGCGCTCTTTGGATCTGATTAAACAGGCATTTGAAATCCAGCCTTAGTTAGATGCAAACGGAAATATCAATAGTTGTAGAGTTAAGGTGCAAGGATTTTTGAGACTTGTATTGAAGTCTTGTAGCAAACGGGAATTTCAGTGAAAAGATCAGAACTTGGAAGCTTTTATCAGTTTGTTTCTCCACGACGAACACGAGTAGTGCTGGTTCGCCCGCTTGAGCACTGAAAGTATCTGCAAGTGGCGCAAGAGAGATAGAAGTGGAGAGCTAGATGCACGAGTCGGTGATGGATCTGAGGATGAATGTATGGAACTGTGGCAAAGTGAGGGACAGCTGTCCTGAATTTGGAAGGCTTCCCCTTTTGTTAAGTTGGTTATTATAAACTATCAATGCTTGATTCGTTAATCTCTCTGCAAATAAAGTCCAACACCCGCCTGCAGGGTATAAAATTACGAACATATGTTACTAATTATTCTTTAAATGTGTGTGTTTACCTAATTACTTTTGAATTTTTCAATTGTGTTATCATACCTATTCAAATTTGTGTTATACCTAATTAATTGCTCTCTATTTTAATTTTTTTTTTTTATGAATTATTATTTGATCTCAATAAATTAGTGAAACTCAATAGTTAAGACTTTTGTTTACAACAAAAAAATTCATTTGTTTTCAAAAACCCAATTATTTTGTTTTTGTAATTCAACTGAATAGTTTTTATTATTATTATTATTATTATTACATTGCACATAATTAAACCTTAGACATAGTCTAGTAATAAGTACAAAACTAAAATGAATCATACTAATAAATTTTGTTTAGTTGATTAACCAAAAAAAAAATGATAGCAATGCTATTTAATTAAATAAAAACAAAATAGAAAAATTATTTAATTGATTTTTGAAGACAAAAATCTTGATGGCATCCAGCCATCCAGTATAGAGTTTCGGGCTTGGAGCAGACAGATGCCCTCCCTTTATTTCACAGCCCTCCCAAGGCGCAAACCATCGGGGACATGGGGAGCGGAGTTCATTCTGAGGCAAATCACATATTCACATGTTGTTCAATTGGTAATAATATACGGCACAGATGAACAAGATAAATGAAAAATAAAACTATACAAGAAATGATGCGACAAACAAATCAATAGTTGCAACTTCGAAATGGAACCAAGTATATACAACCGCCATCAAATAACGGCAACTGTTGCATAATTTATCCTGTAATCCTCAAAATGCAAATTTACTGTCAGGGATGGCTCTGCAAAACTAAACAAGAAAATGCTCACCGTGCTTCATCATTCCAATTGAATGACAAATTCAAGCCTCAAAATGCCCTAGCATGCAATATACACTCTTGGACAGCTCAAGAAACTAATCGAAACAATGCTGGCCCCTCATTGTCCCAAATCTGTCATCTGATTTTGTGTAGTTGAGTGGAATCAGCTACTTTAGCTCTGCTAGAGTCAAAGCTGCATCCGAATTAGAAATTCAAAGTTTCCTAGAAGTCCTAAGATTATATTCATGCTTGATAAGATTTGCCCTCAGTAGCATTGCTCGAACATCCCTGTCAAATTCACTGCCAGTTTGTAGAACCCGTTGAAAAGTGGCATTCCTTTGATCTGCATGACGTGCATAAAGAATTTTGTTGTGCGAATCAATTCGTGCCTGCAAACACATAATAATTTGATCAATAAAGCGCTTATCATGAGATACTATCATTGAGAAACAGATCTACACAACTGAAAATAATCCGCGGTTCTAAAGGTCAAGAAACCCAGCAACCAGATATAATTTCAAATTGAACCTTCCACAGTAAATACAACCAATTTATTTATCAAACAAGAAGATAACATGTTAGTTGGAACCAAAACCTGTATTTGATTGTCAGTAATCAAGGCTTCAAGTTCTTTTTCTAGCCCAGCAACACTTGTTTTGAAAGCGTTTGCCATCATGTGCAAATCAACAGACACAAATGGGTGTGTATATTGAATCAGGGCTTTGTTACGAATTTGATCATACAATGTCTCAACGTGATCATGCAAATGGATGTCGAGCAGTAGGTTCGCTTTGAGATTTCCCAGGTAATCCAAACATGAAGCATAATGGCTGCAGTATAAAACATGAAGAAGAGAAACCCATGTCACAAAAATCGGGATTTCACTATGTCAGTATAATAGTTATAAAGATGCTAAGCTACATTTAAAAAATAAAAGTTAAAGCAAGAGAAGGGGAAAAAGAAGGCAACCAACAAATTAGAGCCAAATTGATAAATGCTGATGGCAGGTCACCACATATGGACAGTTGGAAATAAATGAGAAGATAAGAAAAAAATTTTCCTTTTTTTCTCTTTATTGTGAGAGGGAGAAAGAAGAAAAGAATCAAAGAGATAGTTTAACCCAAAATGTAATACTTGCCACAGGTTGGAAGGTGAAAACTAATCAATAATCCACCCAACATCACTGGCAGTTCTCTTTATGAACTATTTGAGCCACTCTAGAAAATTTTTCCAATACAATATTACATGTTGGAGTTGGCATATATGAGTGAAATTCCTCTATATTACTCATTTCCAACACATGACATAATGCGGCATTTCTCTCTTCCTAAACATGTCAAAAATCCACCATAATATAGCAAATTAACAAGAAACATATACCAAAGTGATTTACCTCGAGTAGAAATCATGAATAAGCTCTCTCACTTCAGGTACCAACTCCAAGAAATTTCGGAAGTTGAGATTGTCTATAACTTTGTTCTATCAATTTAAATATACAATCAGAAGTTACATTTCAGTTCAATTTTGATCTCAAAGAAAAGATATGATGATGATGATGATGATGATGATGATGATGATAACATACCTTCAGTTCTGTCCGCTCAAAACTTGCAAGCGCACAGAGTCCTCCATATGTTGCAACATCTTGAGGTGCAATCACTTCAGTGTAAGAGTTTCCCAATTCAGGAGCCACTTCCAGGAACTGTAAATAATGATTATATGAATAGAAAAAAATACCTTAGACCTTTGACAATATAAACATAAGTTTGATGCTCGCAAAAGACCGCCTAGAAAATGCTAATTTCACAGCCTTAAACTTGAGTACAGTAGTACAATGCTTGAGTTATCTTTCAAACTTCACATGGATAAACTGTCACAAGCTGAATAGTGCCTATTGTTTAGACACAAAACCAAGTTTGGGAATCTTTAAAAGAATGACATGCCTTTTTAGACTATCAGCTTACTCATCTGATGTTTTATGTTTCATACCCTCTTGGAGGATATGCCAAACTGATACCAATCTCTTGCATATGAGAAAGAATGATTCATGTTCAGTACAGATAGTCGAAAGACCGTGCAAATGGGCTCTTGAACAAGGGTGGGGGGTGTAAGTTAATTAAATTAAAAGAAGAAAACAACATCACATCTAAAGCCACCTTGCTGCTCCATAACAAGGGCCAATAGTACTTTCATCTCAACCACCCTAATCATTCAGTTTTTAGAAACTCATGAATCATGACATGTTCAATAAAGTAATTTCACAAAAGTTGAGCATAGATCAACAGTTACAAATTAGCAAGACACATACTGAGAAGCACAAAGTGCTTGAGTGACAAACCTTCCGTGCTGCAAGCTTGTACTTTTTGGCTTCCAGATGAGCTAAACCAGCAGCACATCGTAGTTTTGCAATTGTAATAGGGTCAAGTGCCTCAGGCGTTTGCTCTGCTTTGCTGACATAGCTTGTAACATGAGTAAATTGACCCATCTCAATGCTGACAAGAATTGCACTCATACACATGTGAATAATGTGCTTCGATGTGGTACAATAATCACGGGTTCGAACATAACTTTTAAAAGCATCTCCAAGAGCACCATGAGCATAATAGAAATCTCCAAAATCATTGTATCCCATTCTTATGCTTTCTTTGATCAAATTTGTCTGAATAAAAACCAAACAGACATAAAAAGAATAAAGAAACCAATAAAATCCAAATCCAAGACAAAAGGCTTTACATTATAATAGTCAAAGAACAGAGCATACGGTAAATGATGGAAATATATAGAGCTCAAGATGGAATCTTGTAACAATTCAATTCAACAGCCAAAAAGAAAAAATTTTGAGAAAAAAGCATCATTAAAGCCAAAATAAACCTATTTTTCAGCCCAACAAAAAATCTATACATCGCTACATTCTGAACTGCAATACAATCATAGCATAATATACCCTAACCATATCACTCTCGCTAACTGTAAATCTAATCCATGAAGCAGTAACGGGATGGGATTTCAACCTCAAACTAGAAACCGACACCAATAGCAAAAGAACCTAACAACCAAGTAGAATTCCAGACCAAACCCTCAAGAGACACCTCAAAAACACTACTAAAAATGGCTAAACTAAATGTGTTATAAATGTATGAAAATTGGTGGTAGAGGAACCTAAACATCTCATGCATAGTACGACAAAACGAATGAAAAAATCGCTAAATATTTATAACAACCCATTGAAACCCTAATTCGAAGCACAAGCTGACATTCACAAAAGTAAGCATTACTTAGGGTTTTACCCTGTAGGCATTCAGTTCATTCTCAAGCCTCTCCTTCCTCTGCTCAGCTCTTCGATCAACTGTCTCGCACCACGCGCTATCCATCGCGTAGTTGTGCCCAAGTCTCCCATCAATTTTCTGTACGACTTCACGAAAGAGTTGGGTGTTCTCGCCCTTCTTGATTTCATCATAGGCCATCCGTAGTGCCTCCAACTGCATCGCCGGATTGTCACAGTGATCCGCTATGAAAAGGAGACGCGTGATTTTAGTCCTTCCGGTGTACAATCCAGCATATGCTTCGATGTCGAGCTGCTCGCCGCTAATAACCGGCCTAGTACGGCTAGAAGCGTCGCCACCGTTAGCATAAATCTCGTCCTCTGTCTCCATCCTGATGACCGGCAATTTGGATAGGGCTTTGGCCTCTTGGTTGGAGTAATCTGCCTGCTTCTGCTGCTTGACGATAGATGTTGATTACCTCGAAAAAATTTTTAGTTAGTTCCAGAACAGCATCGGTACCGTATTTTATCTTCTATTTTCTATATGTCGTCTGCTAATGGGGAGGAAACATTTCCCTCAAATCGTCTGCCGAGAAGAGGGAAACGTTTTTCTCGTATTCGTAAACAGTAAACTGACAAGCGTGGTTCATTTCATGGGCTTGAAAGTTTTGGGTTGTGGTGCCTCGTTCAATTGTTTACAGTCTGCCTCTCTGAAAGGCTTTGGGCTGTCAGCACTGGCCCAATCCAACCCCAATCCTTTTATAACTTCTATCTATACTACATATAAAAATGAAAATAGGAAAACTAATAAAATTTTCTATATCATTTTTAATGAAATTTAAAATATTTTAAGGTACTCTTAACTACTATTAATTAAAAAATTATATTTTATTAGTTGCTTAGATATAATTTATAAAAATTATTTTTTCAGCCAAACATGCGTAGCCTGATTATCTTCTCACTTTTGTGAGAAATGAGAGGTCTCGAGTTCGAATTCCTTCGACTATAAGTGTTTTCACCAATTTGATTATTGTGTAATTCACAATGTTATTTCGACCCATCAGACATTATAATGAATAAAAAAATTACTTTTTAAATAAATACATATAAATAGTTAAGCATTTCAAAATTTTAAATTTTATTTTTATTAAATTTATTTTTATTACTTTTAAATAAATAACATTATAAATAGTTAAGCATTTCAAAATTTTTAAATTTTATTTATTAAATTTATTTTTTTTAATGGAATATATATTAGAATGGATATTTAAAAATTGTTTATAATTTTATTTATTAAATATTTAATTTTTTTAAGAAATATATATGAAAATTATATATTTTTTCTTTGTATTTGTATGATATGATTTGATATTTTAAAAAAAATAAAATTTCAAATGAATATATAATATTTAGGACAGAAAAAAAAAGAAAAAAAATATTATTTTTATTAATGTTTTTTTTATGTTTGTAAGATTTGTTTGGATAAATTTTTGAAAAAGTAAATTTTCAAATAGAATTTACATAATTAAACCTCGATGGTAAATAATTGAATTTTTTAATTTTTAAAAAAAACAACATTTTATTGATATATTTATATATCTATATACATTGAAACTTTTTTTTTTTTTTTAGTCTGAGTTACCAATTTGATTGTTGTAATAGTCCGCGTATATATTTGCCATCAGGCCTCCGTAATAAATCAAAAAAATGTAATTTTTTTTTTAAATAAATACACATATATAATTAAGTATTTCAAAATTTTAATTTTTATATTTATTAAATTTATTTTTAATGAATATGTATGATAATGAGGCATCTGTAATTTTTTTATATTTCATTTATTAAATATTTAATTCTTTTAAGATATAGATAAAAAAATAAAATATGTTTTTTTATTAATATTCTTTTTTCCTTTTATGTTTGTACGATACGATTGAATATATTTTTAAAAAATAAATTTTCAAATAGAATATATATAATGTAATATTTTATTTAGCAGAGAGACAAAAAATAAGAAAAAAGTATATTATTTTTATTAATATTTTTGTTCTTTATATTTGTCATATTTGATCGGATATATTTTTCAAAAAGTAAATTTTCAAATAAAATTTACATAATTAAACATGAAATGGTAAACACTTAAAATTATTTTGTTGATATATTTATATATCTATATACATTGAAAAGTTTTTTTTTTATGTCAGTTTTGAAAGAGTTTTATTCTTCATAATAATTTTTTATTTTTCTTTTCGTTACTGAATAATTTGTAACTACTATCATTTTAATTTAGTAAAATATTTATATCTTCCTTCAGTAAATAAATGGCTTATTGATGGTTAAACATTTTTAATTTTCTTGATATTTTTTCTTTTATATCCTAAATCTATTTGACTTAAAAGAAAATAGTATTTAGGAAACTGAAACTAAAAAAAAAAAAAAAAAAAAAAAAAAAAAAAAAAAAAAAAACAGAACTATATGTTTCTGTTTGGGTCACTTTTTGGGTTTGTATGTGCATATATCCTTTATCTAATACATTGGATAAATAATATTATCACTGTGGTCAAAGTAATTTTCATTATCAATTCAAATCATCTTTTCATTTTTTTTTACCTAGCAGTAAAAATAATTTATTATTATTCTTCATTATAGTTGTATATAGATATTGATTTGGGGTTGAGAGCAAGGAGTTGGAGATTGAGTGACAACTTGATTTTCTTTTTAAGCATCTAGTAGGTTTAAAAATCTGCATTTATAAATTATGGACTAAAGGATTAGGTATAAGAATTGAGTTGAACTTTATTCTAAGATCACTTTATTATATAAAAACAAAATTAAATACATAATAAGTAACATTGCAAGTAATTTATATGGTAAAGTACAATACAAATGAACCACTTATATTTATTTTAATTTAAACAAAACTTATAATATTATATTATATATAATATATAACTTATAATATAATATATATTAATATATATATATAACGAGTATAGTTAATGTGCATGCACGTCATACAAAAGACTAGTACTATATATAAAAGTGGAAATAAGGGGAAATAATGAGATTTTCAATAGCACCCTTAATGAAATTTAGAATATTCTAAAATAACTTTAGTCATAACCAAATAGAAAATTACATTTTATTAGTTGATTGGATATATTTATAAAAATTATTTTTTAAACCAATGATATATGATATGATTATTTTCTCACTTATGCGATGAGTGAGAGGTCTCGAGTTCGATTCCTCTTAACTATAAGTATATTCACCAATTTAATGAGTAGAGAATTACTCCTTATTATGTAGCCCATAATATTATTTTGCCTGCCAAATCTCCTAATGAATAAAAAAATTATTTTTTTAAATAAATAATTAAGCATTACAAAATTTTAAATTTTATCTTTATTAAAATTATTTTTTAATAAATATATATGAGGACATTTGAAGAATTATTTTATATTTTATTAATTAAAAATTTTAATTATTTTAGGATATAGGATATAGATAAAAAAGAAAGAAAATGTATTATTTTTATTAATATTCATTTTTCATTTATATGATTTGATTGGATATATTTTTTAAATAAATAAATTATTAAATAGACTACATAATATTTTATTTAGGAGAGAGATAAAAAAAAAGAAAAAAGTATATTATTTCTATTAATATTTTTCTTTATACTTATAAGATTTGATTAGATATTTTTTCTATAAAGTAAATTTTAAAATAAAATTTATATAATTAAACCTGAGATGGTAAATAGTTGAAAATTGTAATTTAAAAAGCATACAATATTTTATTGATATATTTATATATCTATGTACATTATAATGTTTTTTTGTTATGTGAAATTTCAAAGAATTTTATCGTTAAAAATAATTTTTTATTTCTTTTCCGTTACTGAATAATTTGTAACTACTATTATTTTCGTTACTGAATAATTTGTAACTACTATTATTTTAATTTAGTAAGATATTTATATATCCATTGCAATAAATAGATGACCTATTGATGATTAAGCATTTTTTATTTTCTTGTTATTTTTTCTCTTATATCCTAAATATGTTGACTTAAAAGAAAATAATGTTTAGGAAATTAGAAAAAAAAACTATAATTATATATTTATGTTTGAGTCACTTTTTAGGGTTTCAAGAATTTGTATATATCTACATATATTACTTTCTCTGATACACTGGATAAGAAATATTACGACTGTAGCCAAAGTGATTTCCATTGTCAATTCATATCATCTTTTCATTTTTTTTCTTTTACCTAGCAGTACAAAATAAGTTATTATTATTTTTCATTATAGTTGTATATAGATATTGATTTGGAGTTGAGCGCAGGGGTTGAGGATTGAATAATAGTTTAATTTAGCGACTAAAATATTATGTTTAAGGATTGTATTGAACTTTTTTAGCCCGCTTCATTATGTAAAAAATAGAATTAAGTACATAAGAAGTAAGATTTCAAGTAATTTGTACGATAAAATATAATATAAATTAATCATTTATATTTATTTTAATCTAAATAAAATTTATACTTTAATATTATATAGATAAAAAAATGAATATATAATGAGCATAAACGTGCAACGCACGTCATACAAAGGCCAGTAATTATAAATAGATTGATATCCTTTATTTTTTTATTTTGACTAATTTTTCAAATTTATTTTTTAAGGAGAAAATTTTTTTCAAATTTCTTGTTTACCAAGGAATTGATTAAATACTAATAAGATGACTTTTGCTTGGAAACGTTATAAGACTTTTTTTAGCTTAATAATATTAAATAATAAAAAAACAAAAACAAAAATTTAATATTACAAATTTATTCTACTCCTAATCAACCGTCCTGTCGTTGACTCTCATTAAATAAATATTATACATAAATAGGACTTTAATATTTCTGAATGATTGACGTACAATTTTAAATAATAAAAAATTTCACTTCCCTTTTTAATTCAATAATACTAAATGCTCTCCAGTTTTTTCAATAATTAAACAAGTAATTTAATAATATTTATATTATTTAAAATATTAAAATATTTCAGTTTTGTTTTAACAATTAATAAAAATAATCATATTATTACTAGGAAAATTTCAAAATCATTTTTCTCAAGCTATTAAAATTTGTAAATGAATATGAATAGAGATTGGGAAAATAGTTTTTCTGTTATTTTTTTTAATAAGCTTTTCAATTTAGACATTATTTGAATTGGCACTAATATTAATACTATTAATAACAGTATAAGTTTTTAAATATTTAATAATTAACTAAATAATATTATTAATATTCTTTCAAATTTCAATACTAAAATTTTTCAGTTTTCTAATAATTAATGCTATTAATAATGGTATTATCGATTCAAAGTGGAAAAGAAATGCAACGCAGGCAGAGGCAGGCTCCGAAAATCGAGAGAGTGGTGATAAAGCACGCTAAAGAGATTCCGCGAGTAAAGTGATGAGAATGGCACGTGCCACAGGAAAATATAAGCAGCTTCTCAATACGCATTCATTCTTGTGGCGATAAAGTTGAATAAAGGCGCGCAACCAAGCACTGTGTCTTCACGCTTGCACTGTGTTAGTCTACTACTCGTTACTTACTCGCAACAAACAAATACGTATATGTAATCTCACATATCATCTCTCTCGAACTTTTTCTCTAACCAAACACTGTAACAGCTCTCTCTCTCTCTCTCTTCACATTTCTCTCTTAATCGACGGGAATGGCCAGACCACCTGAAGATGTAATCGAGACCTTTATAAGAATCACTGGAGCGGCCGAGTCACACGCAGTTCGGAAACTGGAGGTGCATTTTCATTATCTTTCATTTTTATCCTGTATTTTCTCTGATTTTAAGAACACAGTATAACGTGGTTGATTCCATTACTTGATTTGCTATAGCTGGCTGTTATTTTCAAAATCTGAAGACACGGTGTTGATTTACTTTCTAGGGTTTTCTTTTTTCGCTTCTTTCGTTATATGCGTTCAAAATGTCTGTCTATTTGCACAATGCGATAACTGTGGGCGAATTTGCAAATTGCAAAATGTTGATGTGTATATTCACAAATAATTGACAAGATTAGCAGCTTCGAAGCCATCTGCCATCTTAAATTATTTAATTACAACCACATCTTGGTTTTATTTGAATATAATCAATTATCTTAATCTTTATGTCAAGGAAAATGAAAAGGAATCCAACACAACGGACTTCATCTTCGTCTAATACTGCAAGTTCATTTCCATTTATATGATGGACAAACTAGACAAATTTACCTGCTTTGCCTTTTAGCTTTTGGTCTGAATCTACTGAATCTCTCTTGTGATTGAACTCTATAATTGCATATCGAGAGACACGATCAATTTATCTCATCTATCTTATAGATTGGTCATCTGTAACGTTGATTTGGACAATGATTTGCTCTTGATATCAGTCCGATTTGAAGTAATGATAATTTCCATCTAACATCGTCCTTTTCTTGCTTTTCTCTGTGAATATCATAAGCATCTTCTGCTTTCAAATATGTAGCTTTTCTAATATTTTATTTTTTTGTAGATCTAGATGTTACACATGACGATGGTTTTATTGAATCATCTACCTTGCTATATGTTATAGCTAGCACGTATTTTTCAGATGGCAAAGTTGACGCTTTATTCTGGTTTTCATGTTTTTGTTGATGCCTTTGTATTACATGCGCTGCATGACTCGGGATTTCAAATATAAAAACATAGTGAAGATGGATTTATACATGCCTGAAAACGATCATCTGCTTATGTTTCCTTTGTATGATTTATAACTTGTATCTAATATATCCATAGATACCAGAAGATTTTCTACATTCTTTATATGTAGCAATCAGTTGCATTGTTTTGTATCTAATTTGTGGCTAGAACTGCACTGTGCTTGCCATAAGTCGTTTCTTTCTTTCTTTTTTTTTTCTCACTTGTATCTATCTTTCTACATTTCCTGACTTCTCCATGGTCTCTGGTTTATTTTTGTTTGGTAACCAGGAATATGGAGGCAATCTTGATGAGGCTGTCAATGCACATTTTAATGAAGTAGAAAGACCTATGTATGGCATCTATCAGGAACAATTAATTATTTATATATGTCATTTTTTTTTCTCCTTTTCTTTTGTACCTTATGAGATCACTATAAATTTTATGGCATTTATCGCTATCATCATTATCATTATAACATCTGTGATTTATATGCAGTGCAAATCCAGTGCCTGGTGTCTCTCCACAGCATGATTTTGTGCAAACGCCCAGTCAAATGCAAGCTAGTTCACGTGGGATTTTACCACTTCTCTCTGCTGCTAGAAGTTTTAAACCCTCATCACTACTTGATCCAAATTATAGGAGAAATCTTTTGAATCAAGTCGGTGCTTCTGTCTTCAATAATCATGGGCCACTACATTCACACACAGGAGAGTTCAACAATGCCTACAGCCAACCTTATCATTCAGCACCCAGGCCTGCCTTTGGATATGCAGATCAAAATCCATTATCTCATGGCCATCAATTTCATGGAAATGTCTCAAGAGATCACGGAACTCATTTGCATGGTAGTGATGTAGAAGAACAAATGATTCAATTAGCCATCGAGGCTTCAAAGCGGGAGGTAAAGGAGGGTCCTTAGAATATGCAAACAGTTATCCCAAATGTATATCAAAGCTATCATGTCTTCCTGGTTATGCTTTTTTAAGTGATTGCCACATATATTAATGCAAGCTTTGTTCCTCCTTTTTTTTATTTATTTATTTTTTTTTTTTGCCGTTTCTTTTTGAACTTGATGCAGGACTCCTTTGATATTCCACAAAGGCAGCTTCACATGGAAGATGATGAACTTGCTCATGCAATGTCATTGTCCCTGAAGGTTTTGCTTTTGTTCTGAAATTTATTTTACCTATCTTACATGTTGGTTCCTTTTAATATGAACTGTGTTCAGACAGCAGAACAAGAAAATGCAATACGTGAGCAGACAGTACAATACCAGAAACAAGTGGTAGCTCTCAATTCACCTGGAAGATCAGGGAAAACTACTGATGCCAGATGGCAGGTGAGTGTCGTGTTATGTTTATGAGATACAGATTTATTCGCACTTAACAAAGACTTGAAGAACATCACTCAAATGAGTTGAGAATAAGTGCATGAGAGTTTGTTTGTTGAAACAATGCTGTTGCATCTGATATTCATCACTTGGTGGAAACTGCAAGCTCTGTTCGGATTTATAAGAAACAAAATCTCTTCTGGATGTTTTTTCTTCGAAATTTTTACCAGGTTCTAAGTTTAAAATTACAGATCCATTTACATTAACCTAGTCTTATTCTTTCATCTTTGAAAATAAAGCCAGGAAGTTCATCATATCAAGGGGAAGCTGATCACTTGCAAGGGCAGTCATTGGTGAGTTAGAAGTCAATAGAGCAACTTTTATTTGTCTCATGCTGAAAAAGTAAACCTAACACTTTGTTATCTATGTGCTGATTATCTATGTGCTGATTAAGTGGGGTGGCATTTCTTCCAAGGAGCTTGATGAAGCAGCTCTTCTTGAGGCAGCAATTTTTGGTGAAACTCCTGGGGGGCATTCATTCCAACATACTCCTCATCCACAACATGCTCCAGATAAAAGTAGAGATCTTTGTCCACAGCAAGTACCCAGTCGCCCATCTCCTTCACAAAGCCAGCAGATACGAGAACAACAGGTATTAACCTTCTGCTAGCAGTTGCATTTTTTGTGAAATTACTCTTCTTGAGACAATTGGTCAAATATTACTTGCAGGATGATGAATATCTTGCATCTCTTTTGGCTGATATAGAAAAAGAAACGAATATTGTCAAGGAATCTGAAAATAAGATGCTTGACGGAAAAGTTGTGAGTTTATCTACTGAGTTATGGCATTGCTGCGTTTCATTTTGGTATTTATAAGTTTTTGAATTATATTTATTTTGGATTCATTTTCCACATGTACATTCTACAATCATAATCCTAATAACCTTAATTCCTCAAAACCTGTGTTAGTTTAAAAAAAATATATCACTACACGTATAGATATATAAGTCTCACTAATGACAGGAATCTGTGAGATCGCTGGCCGCAAAAGAAGCTTCACTTCCTAAGGAACCAGGAATTAATGATGAGAATGCAATAACTCTTCTTGTGCGTATGCCAGATGGCACCCGCCGTGGTCGTCGCTTTCTCAAGTCTGACAAGCTTCAGGTATTTTTCACAAATCACAAGCAAATTTGTTCATTATGTCTCTAAGCTAGACTGATTTTCCTTTTCGGGCTTTTTTCTCCTGCAGTTTCTTTTTGACTTTATTGATGTTGGTAGAACAGTGAAGCCTGGAACTTACAGGGTGGTAAGTGTCATATGAATTTTTTTCACTTTTCCCTTTATAACCTTCAGATTGTGATAGCTGTACTGTTTATGGGGTCTTACCTTAAAATGGTTGTTGGTGAAGCTAATTAGTGTAATCAAAGAAAGTGGGAGTATGGATGCTATTTCCACTATAGTACGATACATTCTGATTCATTGCTTCATTTGGTTTATGAACAGGTAAGGCCATATCCTAGACGTGCTTTCTGCGTAGGTGAAAGCTCATTAAGTTTGAATGAACTTGGTCTGACCAACAAACAGGAAGCCTTGTATTTAGAGTTGATATAAAGGACTTGAAATTAAGAAAAGATTGTGCTTGTTTAGTGATGCAGTCTCTTTGGTTGGAGCAACAGTAATCTGTCTAAGCTTAAAGCTGATGTCAATGACCGAACAAGGAAACCAAAATTTTAAATCTGTTTGGAAGTAGTCATTCTTTGACAGGGTCAGGTCCTGTGAATGCTGAAGGTCAAAAGTTTTTTGAAAATCCACTAGTTCTGGTTAGCATTTATTGTTGATCTGTCATTGGGCGAATGATCCAATGTTGGGGCGGTTGTCATGTAGTTTCTGTTACTTTAGTGAACTAGAAATTTACGAAAAAGAAACTTGGATGCTTTCAACTCAACGAGACAGTATTGAACAATTTCAATTTTAAATTAAATAATATTCGATTGCAAGTAATTATTTGATGACTTGTTCTTACAAGTCTTTAACTATAAAAATCTGTAATATATAAGCATGTTGATACAATTCGTTTGAGAAGTAATGGAGGATTCCCCGTCTGTAACTGTAAGCATGTGTAGAAACTCCATTAATATAAACAACCTATGTATTTGACCCTCGTATTGTCCCAAGAAAAAGGTTGGGTTGGGTTGTCAAAAAACAAAATCATCTCTGATTAAGAATTTATAATATTCAGAACAATGTAGCGGAGAAAGATAATCTCTATGAAGATTTATTAGATTCTCCTTGATTCTGTTCAGGATCTGGTGCGGTCCAATACTCCTTAACTGCAAAAAGAATCTTCTCCCTTTCGTGAGGACTCCTTTCATGGTCTGCAATTCTTGCATTCCATTGCATCACCTCTGCTATTTTCTTGACTTGTAACAATATATCTACATCATCTCGAATTATTACACTACCTTCCGGCCTTAAAATCCTATCCATTTCTAACAGAATATCTTCCATTTCACATCTGCAATGCAATGTTTTAGACATTTAGTCAAAGGGCCATGGCGTGCCATTAATATATGCACAAAATAAGCTATTCAATTGTAACCCAGTGATCGATCTGAGTACAAGATCTCCATATATTTTTGGTTTTGAAAATCCGCCATTAGCGTTACCTGTCCTTATATAAACTGAAAATCGAATCGGCATGAATAAAATCGTAAGTCCTTGGATAAGTAGACATGGCTTCACACCTACAACAGAGACAATAAGGATTACCAACAACCTGTAGCTACACATAACTGAAACATAATAACCTTGAACAATTTAGCAGCAACACAAATTTACTTTTTATAAGAATTATCTTTTAAGGTTTAATAAACAGTGGTTGGATTCGGCAAAATTAGTTGTTAACTATTTTAATATCTGTTAACTGTTTGAATAACCTTTCACAGAATACTAAAAGTTAAATATTATATGGTCCAACGTTGCTAAGCCTCGGCTATGTTGGGAGTTTATTAAAAAGCAACCGCAACACTACAACCAGTGGGTGGTTTAGCTGTTGCTTTTCTAAAGTTCGTGCGCGAAAGCACACGCTTATCAAATTATGATAGGATTAAGTTTTGTATGCACTCAAACCCTTTTTATGGCAATTTTAATTGGCTCGAGTCTAATATAGTAAAAATTTGATCCTCTCGTGTCTTAATATAAAGAGGAGAGTAAAAAAGCATACCAATTTTGATAAGTTCCAATCAGTCCACGTTCATAAATTGCCCCTAAAGTATTAACCTCAGCTTCCACAGGGACAACATTCATAACCCAAACAGGATCATCCACTAATGCAGCTGCAAACCCTCCCAAGTAAGCATTCATATCAAGTAAATTACGGTATCGCCCTTTCTCGGCTAGTTGATAGTCAATTGTTCTGTAATGTGCTATTCTTTTCTTCCATAACTCTGTATTTTTGGTAAAAATCTCTGCTGTGATCCCCTCCAAGCTTCCATTGCTAATCCTTGGAGGAATTGCAGTCAACCTTTCTGGCCATTTTGGTAATTCCCCACCTGCTATGTCTCTTATGTTGGACACCTCAGACAATGGTGTTAAACAAGTCTCCATTTTGGTGTACCTAAACCAAGTCAGTATGAACACTAATTAAGCATAAATGACAGAAAAAATTAAAATGGGAATAAAAATTCTTCTTTCTAAAAATGGCATATAAAAAGAAAAGGCACGAGATCAAATTAGGTTTTAGTGGTTGGACAGTTTCACCAACAAAAGAAAGACAGACCTTCAATTGGCCAGTTGTTAGGCACTCAAAACCTTTATTACCCAGTGGGTTTTGGTATAATTTCTAACTAAGGTGTTACTTAATTGTGTAATCTGAAAAGCAATATTTGATTTGCTGAGCTTAAATGAAGTAATTAAAATATTCCATGGACCATAAGTACTGACTAGAAACAACACTACTTAAAAGAAAGGACATATACCTAACTGCATAAATCAATTCTGAAGGCATGTGACATTAAAACCCAAGAAGAGAAATTTGCAATTCAAAAAAAAAAAAAAACTCTAATTGGTACATTACCATGCCTTATCAGGATCTCGTGACTCGCAGAAGAAAGGTTGCTTGAACACTTTTCTGTTGGCTATACAGTGAATATGATTTGTGGGTTTTTGCCAAATAGCAAGATCATCCTTCTGAATCAATTTTTTCCAGCATAAACTTTTGGCTACTGTCTCAATCTTAGCCTGTTCTTGATTAAGATCTTCAGGTGTTCTATCCCAACCTTTCCAATGATTTTCCCAATTAATTGGTGGCCCTGACAAAACCCAGTACCCACCCGGACGAAGAATTCGATCCACTTCGATTAAGTATTGCCCTTCTGCCCATTATAACCAAAATTAATAAGAAACTGAAGATGATACAGAGGGTGTTCTTGAAAAAAATGTAATAATTTCAAACTTCAATACCATTTTCAGCCCAGGGAATTAAGCAGCGAGAGCAATGAGCCATGTCAAAGGCTCTTGAAGGGTAAGGTTGCCTAATGGAAGCAAAAACTCCAATCAAGGCAGGAACTCCACGTTCAAGAGCAAATTGAACTTGAGCTTCATGAGTGTCTCTTGGTGCAAATGACACTGTTAATATGTTCCTTGACAGAAGGTAAGCTCCAAAACTTGCAACCTACAATATTCATTTAGGTCAATATAATTTCAAATAACAAATAATAATATATATTGAAATTTATTTAAAAAGAAATGAAATGCTATAATCTATAACCTGGTTAATTTAATTATGGATAATATTAGAAAAAAAAAGGTCCAAAGTCTAATAATTCCAAGTGAAGAAATTTGGCTAGTTGGTTAAAGTAGTTGGAACTGATAAACTTTACTTTAGCTTAACATATCAACTAAAATGATTATATGTAATAGAGAAATCATTAATTAGTTAGTAACATACTAAAAAATAAAAATAAAAATAAAAGTGTCATTGTCGTAGGAAGGCATAAATCTGTACGTTATGTTTGTATCCTGGGCTATGTTATTATTAAACAACCAACGACAGTTTCAAAGAACATTAAAAATATATATATAAAAAAATGATATTGACTAAATCATAATACTTCTGGTTAATTATATATATAATTATTAGGATATAATATTTTAGTGAATAAACAAAAGTCCAAAGTCTAACTAATTCAAATGAAGAATTAGAAGCTATGCTTCAAATAGTAGTGGACTGTGATAAACTCTTTGTAACCTTTATCGCTTAAATAAAACCTAAAATGCAGATTTATATTGTTTATAGAGATAACTTCATAATTTAGTTTATAACCATATATCTTCAATAAAATATAATATCATTTATAAAATATTATAAATAAACAGTGTCCATTCTCTTCTGTAGGTTATTGACCTAAAATCTGTTATAACGTATGTCGTCTATGTCCTGGATATGTCTAACTCTTATTAAATAAACTATAAACGTTTACTGTTTTTCTCTATTAGATAGAATATATAATAATATTATAATTAACGATATGATTTATACTATAGCTAATGTATAAATCAAGCCCAAGATATAGTTGCAGTTATAATTGTTTAAGTAATTACTTTTTTATTCTAAAACCATTAATAGGTTTTGGAGCTTTAACTACAGTGATATCGTAATTTTAATTCTGGTTATTTAATTCTAAATTTCAAGTGAATAACACAAACCCTCCCTAGGAATACAACCTAACTTCTGAAACCAGCTCGTGTTTATGTGTAATATAGTATGCTGTATTTGCTAAAGATATTAGTCTCCAAACTCTGAATATAATCAGTTGGTCAGGTGAAATTGAACAATTGGTTTTTTCATATATGATTTGTATTAAGCCATATTCTAAAATTCGAATACATTTTCGCCTGATTGGTAAGGAAAAACTACAGAGTGGAAACACTAAACATTTTAAATCCAATGCGTTTCACTTTTTTTACACGGACTTACAACATTGTGTCTCATTTTTGCGTTTTCTGACAATTTGCTTCGTTTCATGATCAATACATTTTGGGTGAGCCGTGACGAAGTTCTATATTTAAGTTAAAGAGTCCAATATACCTACGTTACGCCCGCAACCTGTTGTTTCAATGGCGGTCTTATCAACCCTCAAGAGGTATCAGCTTTGCCCAATTATGCGTTCGATATTTATGCATCAGTGCGCGAGGAATCAGGGATTCCACCGCCGAGGAACCGGATACCGTGTTCCCTCTCACCTTAACCAGTCGGGTGGCTGTACTCGACAGTTCATCTCCGTTGGAGAACTATTGTCAGCGACCAATACACTATCCCGTACCTACCGCCATTTGCTGAAACGGCACCCGGTTAACCTCAAAATACGTGCGCCCGGTAACACGACAGTGAAAATCTCGGTGGCCGCTAGGCTGCTCCTCGTATATCAGTGCCTGAGCGAATGCAGTCTGAGTGCGTTGCGTCTGGTTGCGTCTCGCATGGGCGTTACTCGGGATGGACGTGAGTAGGGTTCAAAGGATGTGAGGTGATGAGACTGTCGCCACCCTTGAACGGGCGGTTGGCAGTGGGAAGAGGGAGGTGAGCAAGTAGCGAGTGGGGTCGGGTTGGCGGATGTGTGGGGGTGACGAGCAAGGAGGAGGTTGCTCGAGAGGAGCGCATGACTGGTTAGGGATTACTGCTCCCGTGGTGGTGGAGAGAACCTTTTATGGTAAAAGTAAGACGGGCATGAAATATGTGTAATTGACCGGATGGGGAGAGATGGCTTCGGGGGGTTTGTGGAAGGAAAACCGCATGGGGTGGAGAGGAGTGCGCTCATTGATAAGTAGTAATAAATAAGCGTGCCGGCGAGAGGGCTATGGTTGGGGGTGGGTGGGTGGGATGGTTTTGAGATTAGATTCGTATTTTTATCTCATTCTACTTCCTTTACTTTTTTTTTTATTTTGTTGTTTATTTCGTGTTTTTATATTTGTATATAAATTCTGTTTTATTTATTTTTTTATATAAGTTGGGGCTGAGAGAGATTAGAGAGAGAACGTAAGGGTATATAATTGGTGATGATCGTGAGTGAACTTTCAAAGTTTTGAGGTCAATGAGATACAAGGTAGCATGGACTTGCATTCATTGCGTCCTACGCGATTCCCTTTCGTGCATATTGGTTTAAACTCTGCTAAGCGTGTCTTGAATTAATTCTATATTTCTATCGGAATATGTGTTTGTAAGGTAAGTTGTTAATAATAGCCCGGATTCGCTTCCTATTGCCATCATTCTTCCCGTTCTAGCTTTTATTATTTATTGGATTTAAAATTAAAATTCTAATTATCAAAAATAAATTTTTAATATATAGCTTTCATTACACCATCAAATACTCGTTTAAAACACTGTAACTCAACTATTAATATCAAAAAATAAACTTCTCACTTACATTATTATTAATTATAAGTTAAAAAAAAAAAAAATGTTACTATGCTTTTCACCAAAGTACATTAACCTTTACTGCCCTTATGTATTTACATTTCGAATGAACTTGCTACTACACTTCTTAAAAATTGTATTGTAAATTTTGTATTGTATTCTCTATTTCGGATGATTGGGAATTCTCTTGACTTTGTTTTGTCTTATAAGAACTGGTTTATATTGTAGGTTGAGCTCGTTATGATTTGTAGCAAAGGTCATAACGAGATTCGCATTTTCCATTTCAGAGCGTACTATAATTTTCTCGATACAGTTTTTATTATATTAAAATTAATAAATTTTGTACTTTACTAACAATTAGCCCTTCAATTTGTGCTATCTGCACGGTATATGCTTGTATCAAATAATATACATATACTATTTGATAATATATGAATTACTTAGATCTTACGCAAAGTAATTTAGCGAAGGGTTTATTGCTGCAGCTGTCCTGACACTCCAATAAAAGAAAGTAACTATTCTACATCTTATCTATTATTTGAACATTACAAACGCACAAATGAGAGAGTGCGATCAAAGTAGAATTACTCTTATATGCTGCTATCATATTATATTTAACATGACAATTGATGAGGAGTGATCTTAATATTATGATTAGTAATTAATCGTCTTGCTTTAGAAAACCATAAAATTCCATTTTTATATAGAGTAATTCTTTATGCAGAGATTTTGTAGTATCTAATTGGGACTAAAAAGCAAAAAGAAAGTGAGTTTTGCTCATTGCGACTATGGATTTCTCACTTTTCCTCCATTAGGTTACAGTTTGGTTATGACTAAGATCGTGATTTGTTGGTTTGCTCGTACTGTGCATGTGATAGAGCTGTGTAATAAAAAACGAGCCATTTAAGAGTCAGTTGATTATAATTCTTATTTGCCACACTCACTTTTGACTTTCGATTCTACATACAGCATAATAAACTTAGCTTTCATATTATAACTAACTATTTTCATTATTAATACATTTGTCGTTCAAAAATTTATTTTATTTTACAATATAATATATATAGACTAATTAAAATAATATTAACAGGATAAATTTACTTATTATAATTTCAGATTATTCAAATATATTAACATCTCTCAAAATGAAAATTAATAATATTAAATGTTAAATTTGGGTGTGGTCGCCTTCATAATTCAATATGTATATGTATAAGTGGAGCAGAGCAGCAGTAAAGTTGATGCACTGTTTACTAAGTGGATGTAACTTTCATTTGTTACCTTAAACCGAAAACGTCAAAGTATATATGTATTTCTCTTATTACTGTAGTTAATATCAGGGGATCTAGACAACCACGTCGCGGGACCAAAGAGAAGTGAGTGCGTCATAGAACTTCTCATTAAGGCCAGATCAGACGCGTACACGTTACATACTCCATTTGGAACATAAAATTCCTATATTAAATTTTCTTTACGCAGATACCATTAACTTCACCCTCATTTTATCTATTTTTAAATTTGTGTGCCCTTTTACCAGTATTATTTTGATCAATTATAATAATTTTATAAAAATTTATAATATTTAATTCATAATTATTAATTCATTAAATAACCTATTATAAGTATATTGAAAAATTATTATAAATTATTATTTCAAAAGTCTTGTTAACTACTTATTAATATACTAATAGCTAAATAATCTTTATGTTGTTATATATTGGAATTGATGCATATCTATATCAAAATTTGCTATAAATTCTAATTACATACTTATTTATTAAGTAAGTAGTTGTCACCAATTGTTAAATTCATATTATTCAGTATAGAAATTTATATATTTGGTGTTTATTTCATTAATTAACCATGTATGTTTGATTTGCAGATTAATAATTCTAAAATCATCATTTTAGAGAAGTTAATTCAATGAAATTAAATTTAAAGGGTTGAAATATATACCTTGGTAATAGAAAAATTAATAAAATTCATATAAGAAATCCAATTATAACTCTATACTTATTAATAATATAAAAATTAATAAATCATTGCTAAAATAATATTAATAATCTCATCATGAACTGTTTATGATAATTTAGAATGTAAAATACGAATTTAAAATAAATTAAGTACTAAGAGCAAAAAAAATGTAATTACATTTATTTTCTCACACGTCATCCAACAACCATTGTTCTATAATTTTTTTTTTTTTAAGTTATTGTGCTTGGGAATTTATGAAATTATACTATTAGTCTTAGACGATCTTT